GTTAAATGTTTTATTTCACATAATTTTTGAAAAAAATCTCTGGGAAACCAGTGCTTTTATGTATATGATAAAAATAGGTTTATCTTTAAATATAATATGTGCACTTCCATGTAAATTGTCATTCATTATACTCACTCTTATTGTGAGTTTTTGACTCAGTTATACTATAACTTCACAAGCTTGCAAATTTGCATGCCATTTACTTAAATATGAAGAAAATTCACCTTGATGATAAGAAATCATTTGTAAGTAGCATGTACATGACTTTTATATTCAGTGGTGCAATAGAAATTGTAGAATTTTATTCAAATTAACTGGTTAGTTATATCGAGTATTTTTGAAAAAATCTCTTAACTAAAACTTCTGAATTTCACAACAGAATAGTAATTAATGCTTTACACCTTTTCAGCCATCCCAGAATTATTGTTTGTTTGTTTGTTTGTTTGTTTTTGCTATGCTCTAATTTCTTCATCTAGGCTGTATTTTAAACCAGCTGGGGGACGAGGGGAGACTTTACCCTTTATGGGGGAGTTCTGGAGGGGTATAAATACACCAGGTCAATGGATAATTACTATATTCATGCCTGAGTATTGAATTCAGTGAGAATATCTGTGGGAATACTTCCCAAGGACAAGAAATGGCTGTAATCAAAATTCACTTTCTGTTGGCAAATCTGTCAGAGAAACTACTAATGACAGCAATTCTCCTTTTTTTTCTCCAGATGGAAAAATAGCTGAAAGCACATCAGGTAAATTGCTTTTTTTTCCCTTATACTGTTTATACTAAACAACAATAAAGTGACTGCTTTTATTTTGAGAGAAGATAGATCTCCTCTGAAAAAAACACTAAAACATTTAAAATGAAATATTCCTTGTTACAAACAAACATACTCTAGTGTGTTTTTATAGAATCTGGGCCAGATATTTTAATAATTAATCTCATAAAGGTGGTGACATTTAAAGTAGAAAATTTTTAAACCCGTAAGTGAAATGTGGATCTAGATTTAAGGATTTACTTTCCTTAAATAAGTACTTTGTATTACAGGATTAATTTCTTAGTGAATTGTTTTAATTAAAATTGATCCTAGTCCTATTAGTGGTACTACAGATTCCCTCAGAACATTGAATAACATTGAATATTACCCATTATTTTGTTTCCCTATCCACCAATATGAAAAATTGGCCACAACAAATCAAGACTGCATTTATGTTTTTTTCTTAAATCGAACAAAAGGATTTTGGCTAATGTCAATATAGATTGAATTTGATTCTGGTCTAACATATATACCAATCAAAATAGCCCAAGATTACTTTTATATGTTTTTATTATGTGATATTTTAGATCTCTCTGTCTTTCTACAACCTAAATACAATAAAATGCAATTGGAAAATGTGTTCTTTGAGGTAAAGGCAAACAGAATAAGTAGCAGGTCAGTTGTCTCAAAGACCTCAAAATCACCTCATCGTAACTATGGACAGGTTCATTAGGTTTCACTATAATGATAGAACAAGAGTTTATCTACTTCCAAGCGTACAAATTTGAATGTTAATTAGAATAGTCTTGAGCATTCTTCTGAAAGTCCTTATTCAAGAAGTTTGAATGAAGAGAGGGAGAACTTGGAATTCTATACTTCTCTGAGAATCTTCTGAAATTATTAGCAATTGAGTTTTTTTCCTGTGTCTTTCAGGGAACATTGCAAGTCTGGGTATTATTTGGGAGGGACTTGAGGATCTTTGAGGCTAGAGCTGCATTGGATGAATAAAAATGCCAACCAGCAACTCTACCAGCTGACATAAAACTGGTCAAACTCCAGAGCAATGTTATCCCCCACAATCCTTATTCCTTAATGAGACAAAGATTCACATATTTGAGAAAAGTATCCATAAGGCAGTATAGGACTTTGTTTTTTGATATTTTTCAATTCTACTGGTTTCAGACAATGTAACTTGTTTGTTGCCATTCCTTTTAAAAATCTCCCCTTCTTGGGGGGCCTGGGTGGCTTGGTCGGTTAAGCATCCGACTTCGGCTCAGGTCATGATCTCGCAGTCCGTGAGTTCGAGCCCCGCGTCGGGCTCTGGGCTGACAGCTCAGAGCCTGGAGCCTGCTTCAGATTCTGTGTCTCCCTCTCTGTCCCCGCCCCTTCCCTATTCATGCTCTGTCTCTGTCTCAAAAATAAACGTTAAAAAATTTTTTAAAAAAAAAAATCTCCCCTTCTCTGTAGTTCATCCATATTCACCTCTGTCATCCAGCAGTTTTTCTCCATAGAATGAAGGCAGAGGAACAGAATTATATCTATTTCTTTTTTCTATTTCATGTTGTGGTCTGAAGTGTAAGTTAACTCTTCCAAAAATTTGTGCAAAATGTATGCAATATAAATGAATAAATTGTACCTATCTTTGAGCTATGAGGTAAACATTTTATTTATCTTTAAGCATTGTAGAAGCAATCTATCTTTAAACGGGGTGATGGCATTATACAGTTAGCATAAGAAAAAAGGATTTCTTGGCAGATTTTACCTTGTGATCTTAGACAAGTCATGAAACCTCTTAAAGATCAGTTTTCTCGTCTACAAGTGAGGAAATGATAATAGTATCACCCTTATAGGAGGCTGTGAGGATTAAAGAGCTAAGATACGGAAGGTGCTGTTACATGTCTAAGATGTGGTACATACAAAACACACACTAACCGTTACTGCTAGTCACCCCGATGACAATGTATTTCTGAGTAAGTTTTGTATATAAAAAAGGGACAAATAAGTTAGTAGAAACAAACATGGCCCACTGGCTAAGATACCAAGCCATTCATTTCAACAATAGAATGAATAAGTTCAGTGGAAACATTGGTTTAATAAAATGAAAGATCTAATATACCTATGGGGTTGAACTCAGGAGAGGTATAAGTATAGTGAATATTTATCATGATTTAATAAATTAAATAAAAATTCTATATGAGTTTGATGTGATGTTTGCTAAGTAGAATAAAATACATTAAAAGATACGGTCTCTCTCTATCGAGTACTTATTTTTTTTTTTACAAGTTTATCTATTTTTGAGAGATAGAGAGACAGAGCCTGAGTGGGGGAGGCCAGAGAGAGAGAGGGAGACACAGAATCTGAAGCAGGTTCCAAGCTCTGAGCTGTCAGTAGAGAGCCCCACGTGGGGCTCGAACCCACAAACCGTGAGATCATGACCAGAGCCAACTGAGCCAAAGTTGGGTGCTTAACAGACCCAGGCACCCTAGCTCCATATTGAGTACTTATTATCATTTATTATGTAGTCTCCATTTAACAGACAAAGAAACTTTGTTTCATAAGTATTAAATGTATCCAGGGGCATAGCCAGGAGCAAGAATAGCATATGCATAAATAAAGGAACAAAATTTAAAATAAAATGTTTTTTTTTTCTTCCAACTTGACAAAAATCTATTTGTCACCACTTAGAAGGCCTGATTATAATTGCAGAGTTTTCAGATCACTGGATTCCATGCAGGAGCCAAGTGGGTAGTGGCCTTGCCAATGTGTCCATCTCCCTGCTCTTTCCATTTCTGGCTTTGTCCTACACAGAGAGATACCCTTGCCTGCATGTCTCAGCACCATCTATTTCGTCTGCAAACAGGCACTCCCTGATCATTCCCCCCAGGCCTAGAGGTTCTCGTCACTGCAGTGTGGTCTCACCTTAGGGGAATGGTCTTGGGAAGGATGCTTATGAAGGTCCTGAGAACAGGCTTGGCACTATAGGGCTCTGGGGACTTAGTAGGGTCTACAGTGAGGGACGGAGGAGGGCACAGGCTCTGGGTTGGTGTATCTTGACCCCTCTGCTATTTTGTCCCCCTTTTGTTTTTTTTAAATTTATTTTTGAGAGAGAAAGCATGAGCCGGGGAGAGGCAGGGAGAGAGGGAGTCAGGAACTGAAGCGGGCTCTGCACTGACAGCAGAGAGCCCAATGCGGGGTTCGAACTCATGAGGCATGAGATCATGACCTGAGCCAGAGTTGGTTGCTTAGCTGACTAAGCCACCAGGTGTCCCTGACCCCTGTGACTTTATTCTTTGCCCTCCAAGGAGAACCATGGCATGAAGAAGGTCAGAGTGAGACTTGAGTGGTTCCAAGTAGGAACCCCTCTTGCTTGAGTCTAAGAGAGACATTGTCAAAGGCCATTCTGATGGCAGGTCTGGGAGTCCAGATGGGTTTGATTCAAAAGCCTATAGGTTTCCCACGACTGAATGCTGCCTTATTTCTCTCTGCTTTGGCATCAAACTAAGATATTTAGATATTAAGATTCAGAATCTAGACACCTGGGATACCTTAGTGACGAAAACAGGCAAAAAACCTTGAGTTCATAGAGCTTAAAATCTAGATGAAGGAGACAGTCAATAAGCAATAAACATAAGTAGTAAACCCGGTATATTACAAGGTGATAAAATCTCTGGAATAAATTAAAGTAATACAATGATAATTGGGAGCGTTAGAATGGGGGTGGCAACTTTAAATTGTCAGAGTATACCTCATTGAGATGGCATTTAAGCTGATACCTGAAGGAAGTGAATGGTATAATTTATAAATAAATACTTTCACCTTTTTTTCTTTGCAGAAAAACAGAAGAGAGAATTAGGTATGTTATCTTAACTTTACCAGCTCTTACTAAGCCAAGGACAGCGTGGTTTCAACACAACAGACAAGTTTGATGGGGGAAGGTGGGACACTGGAACTCGGGGCCTAGCAATGGTGAGGAAAACAGCTGGAGAGGTGTCTGCCCTGTCTGTGAGAAGAATGTCTAGCACACAACAGTGAAAACGTCACAGCTCTATTTATCTCTTTGTTGAAGTCTTAGAACCGTGACAAAAAGATATGGTTATGGCAATGAAGTCAATAAGCAGTGTATGTAACTCCAAGGACTGCCAGAAAAATGAGGAAAAAACATACGGCTTTCAAAGCGTCACAATCAAATCACCTTCTTGTGCTAGCAATACAGTTTTCAAACATGATCTTCTGTTATTCACATTAGGTGGCTTTTTGTTCAGTAATTTGAACTTTGCTGACCCAAACAGAAGAAAGAAATCTCTTGTTGGTTCACTCCTTGACCTTGGATTTAATGCTCGCGAAAGGGCTGAAGATCGGTGGAGAAAACATCGAGATACTGATAGTTTAGTGTTAAAAGACACTCCAGCAGGTACTGTTAGAGAAAAATGCTTACCTAGGAAACAAGTGCTTTTTTTCATTTAGGACAACCTGATAATTTTTGTATTATTTGCAGCACATGGCCTTAATATTAATAGTGGAGAATATAAAAAAACTAATTTCAGGGCCAATGACACTGATGAATTCTGTCTTTAGAGAATTTTGGCCAAGATGTTTATATTAAGTTACATTTTTTTCCTGATAGGCTTAATTTTCTTATGCTACTTTTCTACTTGGTGCTATTATTATAATTATAAATCATTTTTATATTGTTTAAATTAATTAGGATACTTCTGGGACCCAAATTTAGTGTAAGGTTTCTCTACACATGTTTTGGTCTCCAACCACAGTTTATTTTCAATACCATGATTCTCTCTTTAAATTACGTACTCAGTTGTCTGAGTAATACTATAAAACAGAGTTTCTAAACATTTTATAGACTGCAATTTTGTTCTGTTTGAGAAAAAATTAACTTTCTATAGATGAGACATGTTCTCTCTGCTTCTACGTACTTCTCCCAATTGGCCAACTTTTACTTTACTTTCCTAGCCCCTGAAATCTCTATAGTTCATACCTGTAAACAAACAAACAAACAAACAAACAACCAGAAAAGAAAGAGATCCAATGAGGAAAATAACTTCAATATTTATATTGAAATTTGAGTCCGAGTGATAATAACTGAAAAGGGAGAAACAGCTTTGGGTGCAAGGGTGCAGTTGAAATATTTCAGGAAGGGTAGAAGTTTCCTGTCTGTCCAGTCACCTGTCTTGGGACTGACAAATTCAGTATGACCTATAAGTTAATGCAGATATATTTGCTCTTGTTTACAATACCGAGGTGTTAATTGTTTGCTCATGTTCTACAGAACACAGTGAGATTTTCTTAAATGGCCTCAATGCTTCAGTTTTCTTATGGAATTCTCAAACCTCATGGTAAATTGGTTGTCATGCATACCCCTGATTACACTTTGTGGAATTATATATGGAAAGTTGTATAGAGGGGAGGGATATTTTTGAACCTATAATGAAGGCCTAGTTCAAGTAATGTATATAGATTAATTTGTTGTACATTATGAATGAATGCAACTTTTCTCTGATAATGATTGTATTTTTGTGTGGTAGAGAAAACCCGTTCAGCAAGTGGTTTTGCCAATGGTATCTCTGGTGGTATTGAATTTGGTGGCACTGCTTCAAATCAAAATGACATTGGTAGGGGTCCATCTGGCCAAAGTGGATTTGATGTGAATGCAGTAAGTGGATTAGCTGACTCTAATTCTGCTCCCAGTGAAACAGGTATTCTAAGTTGTTTCTTAGTTTCTGCTTTTAACAGAAAAAGTCAATCAGTTAGCAAAGCAGGGTGTTTCTTTTGACCAATACAGATTTTAATATTAGAGGAACTCATGGAAATGATTTTTAAATTCTGTTTGATTCTTAAAGGATCTGTATTATCTTTAACAGAAATCAGCAACTTAAACATTTTAATGAAGAGACAATTAGATTTAATGCTTTTATGAGGGAGCTTGGATCTGGTAGGGAGAGATCCAGTTTCTATCCCCAATCTTTCCTGCTAACCTTCTGTGGACTTTGGGAAAGCCACTTAAACTCTCTTGTTCCCAAGTTTTGTCATAAGGAACAGAAAAATTTTGGTCACATGTTTCCGTACTTTTGTGATGCTAACTTCTGAAGTTTCAGCACTCCTATTTTAACTAGTTTCTTGAAAAGAATGCCAGGAAAAAAAAAATTTACAAAAGTGTGAATAAATAGCATTTTATATTTTGGAGATTAGAGTTGGTGGAAGAAGTTAGGGCGAATAAAGTACATTAAATCTAGCTATTTTTGTGTCAGAGAAATTTATCTTAAAAGATGTGGTAATTGGTGGAAAACGGAAGAATAGAAAGGAGTTTGTTGGTAAATCCATGGGTTTTGGCTCTTATATCAGTGCTCAGGAATTCTGATCCAGACCTTTAAGAAAAAAATACAAATAATTTACATCCTTTGGTTTTGCTCTTGACAACTGTTGAGTTTTACACTTGCCTTTTGGTTTTGGTCTTGGTGGTGGAAAGAAGGGCGCATTTGAATGTGGTCTTGGTAATTCTGGCTCATGTGGAGTGGGTGTCAGTGGTTTTGAACAAAAAGACTTTGCTAAAAAATGAAATAGGGAACATTCATAAAAATGAATAGGGAACTGGAAAATCAAGTCCAGTGATCTAAGTATTACTATTTAGCTTTTGTGCATAAAAAGTAGAGTCATAAGTTGTATTTAATTATTACCTGGTAACAATCTTTTTTTTTTTTTTTTTCCATTTCAGCAGATAACACCAACACAAGACATAGGGATGGATTTAGTAGCAGTGTCTCTGGGAATTTGGGATTTGGTTTGGGGACATCTGATCAAAAGGGATTGGACTTTGGTAGAGCTGACTGGAGTGAAATGAGCAACAGACGATCTGCTGGGGGTGAATCAATAGGTTTTGGATTTGATGCCCGTAGCCCAGGTATTCCAACTAAGACTCATTCCAGAAAATTTAAAATTAATTAACTACTTGTTTAAAAATACACTTTTTAAATATTTAACAATCAACTAATTGTGTAAAATTAATTTTTAATAACATTTTAATTTTTCTGTCAGTTGGAACCGGGTCTTTTGGTTGGGAACTTGGAAAAAGGAAGGGCGATAATGCATTTGGTTTTGGAGCTTCTGGTTCGAGTTCATTTGGTGGCAGTGGCATTAATAGCAAAATAAAAATTGAAGGAAATCAAGTGGGTAGTTCTGGAGGACCCATTTCCAATGATCTAGGTATTGATATCTCATGTTTATGCATAAAAATTTCTGAATCATGAAATGTTTTCAATGTACTCTGTGACGTCATTTTATATTCTGGAGGTGATACTGGTTTAAGAAATGCTGATAGCTCAAGTATTCCACTCAGTCTCTGTTCCTGAGAAATCCAATTGGATTTCAAACAGTCATTCTTTTATTTTGATATTATTTTGAATTTTCTATTAGTGGGAAGGCCTGGGTGTTTTGATTTTGGACTTGAGGGAAAGATTTGGAACTGACTTTGGTTTTGGAGATTCTGGTTCAAATGCTGTGGTGACATTGGACTTAGTGAAAATGGGGTAAAATATAATGATGAATATAGTTCCATGTTTTAGGTGTTGATGTTTAATTTCTGTGCATAAACAATATTTGAATCATAAAATTTATTGGAAAATGTTCTGACAACAATCATTTTACATTCTGCAGGTGGCATCAGTGCAAGAATTAGAGATAGTCTTTTTGATGGCATATCAGAAAATTTGAGATATGGTTTTGAGAAGTTTGGTCAAAAGGGATTTGGAAGCAGAGGATCTGACTGGAGTAAGAGCAGCAGGGAATCTGATGTCAGTGGCTCAGGTAGTCTAATCTTGGACTCTGCTCAGGTGAAATCTAAATTGATTTCAGCCTTTCATCTATTATTTTATAACATTTTTATTTCTCTGTTAGTGGAAAAGTCCTCATCCTCTGATTTGAAACATGGAGAAAGGAAACGTGAAGCTAAATTTGATTTTGGAGATGCTGGTTCAAATCGATTTGATGACATTGGCCTTAGTGAAAATGTAATAAAAGGTACTAGAGAATCTAATTTTAGTGGTATGAATGTTGACAGTTAATTTTTTGCTTAAAAACTTCTCAATTATAAAATTTATAATTAATGAATTTAATAATTTATAATTATTAAATATAACCTGTTGACAAACTTTTAATATTCTGGTAGAAGTACCAGTGCAAGAAGTGGTGGTGAGCATGCTGGTGAAAAGTTTGAATATTCAGGATTTGGTATGTGGGTATTTGGTAAAAAGGAATTTGGAGGCAGGGGATTGACAGAATGAGCAGCACCATGTGTGTTTTGTCTGGATCCTTGAATCTCAGGTCCAATGCCCACAACTTGGGCATTCTCCTAACCTGGACTCTTGGGGAAACTGAAATAGGTTTCAATTTTTTGATCATTTTTAATTTTTTTTTAATGTTTATTTATTTTTGAGACAGAGAGAGACAGAGCATGAAAGGGGGAGGGGCAGAGAGAGAGGGAGACACAGAATCCGAAACAGGCTCTAGGCTCTGAGCTGTCAGCCCAGAGCCCGACGCGGACCTTGAACTCACGGACTGCGAGATCATGACCTGAGCCGAAGTCGGTTGCTTAACCGACTGAGCCACCCAGGCGCTAAGTAACACTAAGAATTTTCCAATAGAGGGAAGGACTTGGTTATCTAATTTTGAAAATGGAGAAAGGAAAGGTGAAACTCAATTTCGTTTTGGAGATTCTGGTTCAAATCCAATGGCCATGGTGGTACAGACTTGGATGGAAATAGATTAGGAGGTACTGGAGGCTATAGTTCCAGGGCTCTAGGTATTTATGGTTAATTTCTGTGCAGAGAAAAATTCTGAATCATGGTATGCATAAAAAATAATTCTCATGACCATCATTTTGTATTCAGCAGGTGACTCAAATGCAAGAAATGGGGATGAATATTCTAGTGGTATCTCTGAAGACTCAGGATTCAATTTGGGGTCATCTGATCAGCAGGGATTTGGAATCAGTGGAATTGGTAGGAATGGAGAGAGTGGCAGTGGAATCGTGGGGGCTGGATACTTGAGTCCTGGATCTGATGTCAGTGGCACAGGTATCTTCACCTGGACTCTGTTCCCAAGAAATACAAATTAGTTTCTTCCTTCTTCATTTCTTTTAATCACACTTTTAATCAATTAATTGATTTTCCATTAGGAGAAAATACTCGGTCTTCTGGTTCTGGAAGTGGTGAAGGAAGGAAGGGTGCAGCTGGACTTGGTGTTGGTACTTCTGGACCAAATGAATTTGGTGAAACTGGCGTTAGTGGCACAGGTACCTGTGATACTGGAAAGGATGTTATTGGGTCCGGTTCCCATGGCCGAGAATTGGGATTTATGTCTGGCGTTTAGAGAGTCAGGATTCTAACATATGTTATAAAATAACAATGAACATCATAAACATCAGTAATGATATAAAAAGCAAGACAAAATCCTGAAATGATAAACTGTATTTAGACGTGATCAGGAAAAAAAATCATTTAATATTTTTTGTAGAATGTGGAATGAATTTTGTGGCTGTGATTATATTTATGTGGAGTTGTTTTTGTTGCCTTTATGCAAAATTGATTTGGAGTCACATATGTGAAGAGGTGATTTGTTGGGTTTGATCTTTGTGCTCTGGATCTGGACTTTAAATTATTTTGCAAGTTTATTTCTGATAAGAGTAAACAAATTCCATCCTTTTTGAACATCTCAAAATTTAATATTTCTTCTTAATGGAAGCATTAGAGTGAATAGTCTAAGAAGGTAGTATTTATTGTGATATGGGGACTACTTTGATTCTTGTATTGGAAAGTCTTGGGTGCCACTAGACTAAGTGATCTCAGAACTGTGGGCAGTAGATTCACTTCTAATGACTTAAGTGATCTGAAAGATATTCAGGATTCATACTTAGAAATCAACTTTGGGATTGATATATTTTTAAAAGGTAAAATCTAGTTAGCAAGAGATATACTTAGTGTAGTAATGGCTGACCTCAGTCAGGATTGACTATCAATGAATCTGTTCAGAAAAGGCTTGGTAATAAAGAAATAATAATTCACTTTTGGAATGTTCTTAATCTTTGGACATCAGTTTTGAGGTCAACACTTCAGTGGAACTGAGAAATTTGAGATCACTGATTATTTATTGCCATTGACCTTGTTTAAAACCAGTTAGTAAAATGGTTTAAGAGACACTGAATTTTTAACCCCTAGATCTGCTGCCATTAGCTCGGGTATTCCAGTTTAGGATGTGTTCCTGAAAAATGTATTAAGAAGTAGTTGTCTCTCCTCTTTCTATTGTGGAGTGATTACCAATCTAGACTTCTCTGCTGTTTGGATACCAACTTTTGACTGCTTTCATGTTTTTCAAATGAGACAGACTTGTTTTAATTAGTGTTCTTTCCGGTAGTGTATCTAATAGCAGTAAATCTAGTGGATTTGAAGTGGCAAGTTCTGGATCTGTTGGCATTATTGTCTTAACATTAGACATGTTGAGATGAACTCTCAGTTCAACTAGATCAGTTGTTTTCAGACTTCCAGTTTCTGTGAGTGCAGAACCCTTTGTTCAGTTGACATCTTAAAATGGTAGCTAGATTTTCCAAATGTAAAGCAATTCAAAGTGGGAGTGTGACTGAAACTGGGATAGGAGACCCTGGACCCTGTTTATGCAAACCTTTCTCTTTTCCTAAACACATTTTAAGGCAATTGATCTGGAGTAAGTTAATTTGATCATTTCATTTGGTGGCAAGGCATTTAATTTTGTTACTCCCACAGGTTGTTAAGTTGATTATATACATATATATATAATGCATATATATATGTATATATATGCATTAAATATGCGTATATATGTATATATATATGCATTATATATACATATATATATATACAGCTTCACATTGTTCTAAATCTGCTAGCATTAGTATTGCTGAACTTGGATCCATGGTTTATCCATCAGATTTTAAAAACATTTTTTTTTTCATATTTTACCAAGTAGTATGTATATACAGACTAACTATTTCATATTAAAATAGGTGTCACAAGCCCAGCCGACCACAGTACCTCTGCACCACTCACTACACCAGGTAGTTTGACTTATGACTTCCAGTGCTTAACAATGCATATATATGATGTATGTGTATGTATCTGTGTGTTTATACATATATACATAATTCTGAAATTTAAGTGTTCTGTGGATTATTGATTTACTAGGACATGATATTATTATGTGTTTTCCATGTTGAAGTGAGCTTCTAAATGCTTCTCTTTGAGTACTAAAGTTTAGATCACCAACTGCATATTTTAAATAATTTCATTAATAAGGTAGATTAAATTATACTTTAAGGGAACCTAAATAAAGCATAATACAACTTCTCCTTTGTCATTTTAGATACACTATTTTTAAATGGCTTTAAAAATAATTTATAAAGATATTATGTTATATTACCTAAGAAAAGACAACTGTAGTAAAGGCAAGTGGCCTCAAGATACACAACAAATAACACGTGAAAAATATTTTATAGTTCTATCAAAATATTCACTTGTGTTGTTGTTGCTTTTCTATTCTGCTTGCTTAACTGCTCTAAGATTTCATATAAATTTACTTGGTTACATACAAGGGTCAATGCATTAAAAATAATCAGGGGAAGGTTTCAAGGTATATGAATTTCCCCTTTGATCAGTAGAATGAAGTTCTCTTCATATATAGATAATTGAATTATTAGTATTACACAGTAGACTGATTTAGTAAAATCTACCTTGGGCATGTTTAGCTAGTGACTCCCAATGAAAGTATGCTAGCAATGTTCTGTTTATGAAGTTGAAAATATAGTTCTGTAAGGGATACAGCATATGTTAGTAATTGTACATGACTCAAAATGAATAAGCTCATAATGATTTCTGAAAATACTATGGCCAATTGTACCAAAAATATGGTACAATTCAGAGATCATCATGTACATGACGGTGGCAAATCACAGATCTCACAAAATCAAATTATATGATCAGGATAAAGAAACCCACTGATGGCCTTCAATATCAGCTTCTAAATTCCTACGTAGAAACCCAAATATTCTGTATAGTTAGAATCAATGTATGTTTTTAAGTTTAAATAATCTATGCATTATGTTAAATAGAAAAAGGATCCCATATTCCAGAAGCAACTCCGAAATACTCAGAAACAAATACAATTATTGGTAAGTAAAAAGGACTTTGATTTCTACCCATATTTTTATGTCCAAGCCAGCCAGTACCTAACCAATATTTTGAAACTAGTTGTAAACATTTGCCCGTCACCTATCCATTTTATCATTTTATGTTTGAATGACATCACATTCATACTATTTTTCTCAAAGATACATATACACACATATATACATAACACATATACATGAACGTATATAAAATACATACGTATGTACATATACATGTACATAGAGAAACAATATTCTTTATACTTAATTGATATATGGTAACCAACTCGTATAACATTAGAAAGACTATTTCTACAAAAAGCAAAATAAACAGGCAAACAGACCACAACTCCGATCATATATATCTCCCCACAAGTAGAGACAATTTCCCTTTCCCATAGGAAACGAGATGTTTTTATTCATGTTTTGTTTGAGACAGAACAGCAACCTTTGTGTATTCCCAAGGATTCAGGCACTACTTTTAGTGTGTTTTTGCTCTGTGTGAGAAAGAAAAGTTCTTATTTAAGGTGGTGGCTGGGGAGAGCAGAAACTTTCAGTAATGTTTTATCTTGGTACACAAACACTTAAAAAAAACAAAGAACTATGAATATTCTACTCTCAATATTTTGTAGGCGAAGCTTCTACTTGGGGCAAAGGAGCATATAAAGCTTTCAATGGCCGCATCTTTTCCTTCGACTCGTCATGCGCATACACCTTCTGCCGTCATTGCGTGGAATCCGGAGAAGATTTCAATATTGAGATCAAAAGAAACAATAATAGTGATATTGAAAAAATAATAGTTAAAATCGACACTAATGATGTCTCTATTTTTGGTGATATCATCCTAGTTAATGAAGAAAGGTAAATGCCACAGTGTTATGGAAAAATACTATAGAATGACTTAAACTATCCTGAGCAAAAAGAGGGGTGCCTGGGTGGCTCAGGTGGCTAGGCATCCAACTTCAGCTCAGGTCATGATCTCCTGATTCCTGGGTTCAAGCCCCGCATCAGGCTCTGTGCTGACAGCTCAGAGCCTGGAGCCTGCTTCCGATTCTATGTCTTACTCTCTCTCTGCTCCCTGCTCATGCTCAGTCTCTCTATCTGTCTCAAAAGTAAATGAACATTAAAAAGACTTACAGTCACCTGAGCAAAAAAGAGAAAAGGTTGACTAGGAAAAGACGATACTCTTTTCCTATTTTGGTGCTCATATTCATTACCTTAAATTCTTGGACAGGAGGGGCGCCTGGGTGGCGCAGTCGGTTAAGCGTCCGACTTCAGCCAGGTCACGATCTCGCGGTCTGTGAGTTCGAGCCCCGCGTCAGGCTCTGGGCTGATGGCTCAGAGCCTGGAGCCTGCTTCCGATTCTGTGACTCCCTCTCTCTCTGCCCCTCCCCCCTTCATGCTCTGTCTCTCTCTGTCCCAAAAATAAATGTTGAAAAAAAAAATAAATTCTTGGACAGGAGTCTATATTTATTCCTATATTTATTCCTATAAAAATTTATTTATTCCTATATTTATTCCTATAACATGGTGGGGACAAACAACTAGTTTTGTTGTTTGACTATTTTGAGTACTTAGATTTGGGACAACATGCATATTCAACACATCTGTTAATAGAGTATTTCAATTTTCATTTGTATGTTTGTTGTTAAAAATATGAGATTTTTCAATAGATTAAATTTAGGTCATTGTTTTTAGAAGTAGCAATTCATATTTGGAAGGGTGTAATATTTGAATAGTTTTCAGGATAAGAAGTTGAGACATGATATTCTACTTGTGAACATTTCAAATTATTTGATCATTTATTCCTTACACTGCACCAGTTTCTTCTTTTTAATTTCTCCAAAGCCCCAAAGATTTATTCATTGTTCTTTAAAAGTCTTTCAAAAATTGGAAAAACAAAGCCATTGTGTCTCTTCTGAAATGGTAGGAAAAACAAAGCTGCAATATTTACTAGCCAGTATTATATTTGTGATACTAAATATAGAACATGAATTATTAGAAAAACATATACTATTCTTACCCTTATGTGTACTTGTGCTTTAAACTTTTCAGTGTACAGATACCATATAACAATAAATTGATACACATTAAAAAATATGGAGAACATAATGTCCTGAATAGCCGCAGAGGAATCATGTCTTTAATGTGGGACAAAAATAACAAACTCTCAGTAAGTCTGTCTCTGATTTTCTTACATTCTTGGGCCTTTTGTTCTTTGCTTTCAGTTATGAAAAGAATACATTATAAGGAAAATAAGAGCTAACGTTTACTGAGAAATCTCTATATATTATTCACGTGCTAAGCATTATCTTATTTAATATTTAAAATACATACTGTTATTAATCTTATTTTATAGGTGATAGAACTCAGGAAATTCAGGCTAATAAAAGTTAAATTATCTACCCAAAGACACATAGTTAGTAAGAGATGGAGTCAGGAAATTTCCAACTTCTAGATCCTGGTCATTTAAAAAACATCCTGGGGCGCCTGGGTGGCGCAGTCGGTTAAGCGTCCGACTTCAGCCAGGTCACGATCTCGCGCTCCGTGAGTTCGAGCCCCGCGTCAGGCTCTGGGCTGATGGCTCAGAGCCTGGAGCCTGTTTCCGATTCTGTGTCTCCCTCTCTCTCTGCCCCTCCCCTGTTCATGCTCTGTCTCTCTCTGTCCCAAAAATAAATAAACGTTAAAAAAAATAAAAAAATAAAAAAATAAAAAACATCCTATAGTACTTCCTAAGTAACCAGCTTAGATAGAATTGAAAATGAATGGACACTGTCCTTTGGTTTGGGTAAATTACATTTTGAGGTATTTTCAATATTTTATAAACATGTACATGTAATTTTTTTTAAAAGCTTACTCTTCACAAGAAATATCCAACTTGTGGTCTCTGTGGTAACTTCAACAGCACTCCAGGTAAGATTTCAGTGCATTAGGTCTAAGAAAATTGCTTCCTGAAAGAAAATTAGAAAATAATTACTCACATTTGGATAAATCCAACAGAAATTTGCATTTGTCTAAAGAATAAGAAATCATTAAAATAAAACAAAATTTATGTTGTCAACTTACTATATCTAGCTTGAAAATAATGTATATGTACATAATGAATCTCTTGAACTAAGCATTGTTTTCATTTTCAGGAGATGATATCAATGAACACATTGCCAATAGTAAAATTCCTGGTGATTGTCCCAAAGCTGTTAGTAAAAGCTATGATGTTTGTGAAGATGGCGTGCAGGTAAGAGATTTATATTTCACCTAGCAGCAAATTTCAGCACTATTTCCCTTTGTTTCAATTTAGATACCCAACATCCTCTTCTAAGCATTCATGCCTTATTCTTGGAATTGTGCAACTACTTTTTCTCTAATGTCCTTATAGTCTATTTCTCAGCTTTAGTTTAGCTGTAGATGCTAAAATAAGTTTTTTCCTAAAACATTATGATATTTACTATATATTAGTGTAACAATTCTGATTTTCTTTGCACAGAGTTTTAGTTTGTCTGTAAACTGACATGCTTCACCTCTCCATTAAGTCTGCTGATGGATATTGATGGGCTCTTATGCTGTGGAAATCCATGTCCTGTGTCCCTAAAACTACTTTCTGTTCTCCCTTACTTTTGCCCCAGATAGCCAATCTGAATTGTCATACTTTGTATACTTTGCTTTCTTTTTGAAAGAGTAATATGTAATTATTTTGACTACAATACTTGAAAATAGCCCTCTCTGAATTTTCTGCACTTTTGTAGTTCTGTCACATTGAATTTGATAGGTTGCATCCGTCTGTCTGTCTGTCTGTCTATCTATCTATCTATCTATCTATACTCTATTTATTGAGAGAGCACATGTGCACACATGTGTGCACGTATGTGAGGGGGCGGGCAGAAGGAGAGGGAGAGAGAATCTTAAGCAGGCTCCACACCCAGTGTGAAGCTAGAGGACATAGGACTCCATCTCACAAATGCGAGATCATGACCTGAGCTGAAATCAAGAGTCAGACATTTAAATGGCAGAGCAACCCGGGTGCCCCCTGTTGTTGTTGTCTTATTGTTGTTTAGGACAGGTTGCATTTTTTTAAATATTTTTTTCTTTGTAGTATTCATTTATTACCTTTAATTTATTTTTTTTTAATTTTTTAATGTTTATTTTTTGTTTTTTTTTGTTTTTTTTCAATATATGAAGTTTATTGTCAAATTGGTTTCCATACAACACCCAGTGCTCATCCCAAAAGGTGCCCTCCTCAATACCCATCACCCACCCTCTCCTCCCTCCCACCCCCCATCAACCCTCAGTTTGCTCTCAGTTCTCAACAGTCTCTTATGCTTTGGCTCTCTCCCACTCTAACCTCTTTTTTTTTTTCCTTCCCCTCCCCCATGGGTTTCTGTTAAGTTTCTCAGGATCCATATAAGAGTGAAACCATATGGTATCTGTCTTTCTCTGTATGGCTTATTTCACTTAGCATAACACTCTCCAGTTCCATCCATGTTGCTACAAAGGGCCATATTTCCTTCTTTCTCATTGCCACGTAGTACTCCATTGTGTATATAAACCATAATTTCTTTATCCATTCATCAGTTGATGGACATTTAGGCTCTTTCCATAATTTGGCTATTGTTGAGAGTGCTGCTATAAACATTGGCGTACAAGTGCCCCTATGCATCAGGACTCCTGTATCCCTTGGGTAAATTCCTAGCAGTGCTATTGCTGGGTCATACGGTAGGTCTATTTTTAATTTTTTGAGGAATCTCCACACTGTTTTCCAGAGTGGCTGCACCAATTTGCATTCCCACCAACAGTGCAAGAGGGTTCCCGTTTCTCCACATCCTCTCCAGCATCTATAGTCTCCTGATTTGTTCATTTTGGCGACTCTGACTGGCGTGGGGTGATATCTGAGTGTGGTTTTGATTTGTATTTCCCTGATGAGGAGCGACATTGAGCATCTTTTCATGTGACTGTTGGCTATCCGGATGTCTTCTTTAGAGAAGTGTCTATTCATGTTTTCTGCCCATTTCTTCCCTGGGTTATTTGTTTTTTGGGTGTGGAGTTTGGTGAGCTCTTTATAGATTTTGGATACTAGCCTTTTGTCCGATATGTCATTTGCAAATATCTTTTCCCATTCCGTTGGTTGCCTTTTAGTTTTATTGGTTGTTTCCTTTGCTGTGCAGAAGCTTTTTATCTTCATAAGGTCCCAGTAATTCACTTTTGCTTTTAATTCCCTTGCCTTTGGGGATGTGTCAAGTAAGAAATTGCTACGGCTGAGGTCAGAGAGGTCTTTTCCTGCTTTCTCCTCTAGGGTTTTGATGGTTTCCTGTCTCACATTCAGGTCCTTTAGGATAGGTTGCATTTATTTTATGACTGAATAAATGTTCACATATTCCTGTTTCAATCTAGAACAAAATTTTCCAGATCAAGATGTATGGATAGAATGGATAGAAGAGACTTTTTGTTTTCTCGACAATGGATGTTGCATTTCTAACCATCTTGTTACCTTCTAGCAAAGCAAATTAAGCCATGACTTTCTGTATCATCTTCTGTCTTTCTTGTGAAACCCTCTTTGGTTTTCAGTTAGAATTGCCTTCTCTTTTTCCTCTGTTACCCTATGCCACTCCTTACTACTTATGATAAGATACCATCCACAAAAATTTCCCATGTTTTTATGTTCCCTGTAAGATTATGCATTCGATGATGACAAGACTTATGTTTTATCTGTTGTGGTAGTTGCAAAATGTATGAGAACTTACTCCTGGTTGCTCAAAAATGTCAGTTCAATGATTGTATAAATTTATATTAAAGTTAATGCAGGGGCTCCTGGGTGACTCATTCGGTTAAGCCTCTAATGCTTGGTTTTAGCTCAGGTCATGATCTCATGGTTCATGAGATTGAGCCTTGCATTGGGCCCTGTGCTGACAGTGCAGAGCCTCCTTGGGATTCTCACTTTCCTTTTCTCTGCCCCTTCCCCACTCATGCTGTCTCTATGTCTCTCAAAATAAATACACATTACGAAGCTAATGCATATTTACTAAAGACCTGCTACATGCAAGATATTGTAGTAAGTTAAGAGGATACAAAGTTCTATTTTTTACTCTAAAGGAACCTGTAATTTAGTGAGAAAACTATACAAAAATAATAAATGAAAATCAATCCGTGAAGATTTTATTTCAGTTAATCTTATACCTAACCTGGAGAATGTTATCAGTTGTCTTAGGCTTAATTGGTACAAATTATACATTTGCTTAACAGTGGTTTTTATATTTCTCTGTTACAAACATGTTAAGAAAGAAAACAGCTACGTGGTAGTTAAAAAATGTAGACATTTAAATATTTTTGGGTTCAGTAATATATGTGTTTACTTTCTTAACCAACATGAGAACAAATATGTTGTCTCTGGAGCCAACTCACATGGCCCCTACTAAGAAAGCACACATTCGCTCTATTTTACTGCCATGGTTGCTCATCAAATATAAGAATATTAATAGATAAAGGGCCAATGTCCCTTCTGTCTATTGTGGTATCAGTCATTTACCATCCCACTCTCTGGCATCAACAATCTTTATTTTTTCTCACCCTTCCATTTTCTCAAGTTGTAAACTTCATGTCACCTTTAGAGAAATTTTGGTTGAGTGTAGGTACAATAATTTTTGAAGCTGTTGTACAACAATCCAAAACGCCATAAGTGAAGTGTTCTTTTAAGAGTCACTGTACCGAATATAATACTTTAAAACTCTCCGTTTCAACCAGAAGTCAACAACCCTTCCTGCCAAAGCTACAGGTTATCATGCAGAATCAAACATGTCTGAATTTATCTTTTCCTAAATGTTTATTTGATTGTCCATTTTTTTATGTTTCAATAAAACTTCATGCTTTATTTTGTAGCACTGTGACAAAATTATTGGAACTTACTTTGAGAAATGTAGAAAGGTCACCACTTTATCCAATGACTACAGAATGATCTGCATTGATGAGTACTGCCAAAATAGAGACAAAAATTCTACGTGTGACACTTACACAGAATTGTCCCGCCTCTGTGCCTCAGATGGTCCCGGTCCCTACGTATCCTGGCGAGATGATTCTGATGTGGTTTGTGGTAGGTTTTAAATTGTATTGCAGATTCCAAGACAGAAAGTGCCTATAGCACTTTAAAATTGAGCTATATTTCAAAGTAATCTTTTCAAATGACTGTAAGCCCTGAAAGGGATCTTAGAGATGTTAGAGTCCTATCTCTCACAGATACTTGTGAGGAAACTGAGACCTGTATTGGCGAAGTGACTTGCCGTAAGTTGCACCGCTTTGTGTTAAGATCTCAGTTAGGAAATTTATAGTCTTTACAATTAGTAAAAGTTACTGGGAAAAATGAGAAGTTCTGTAAAAATTGAAAATAGTGGAAAAGTTATCAAAAGTATATTGATTAGTACTATGATTTCCTTTCAAAAAAATAAAGCATAGACATGAGTTTCACACAAATATAAATATACTTTCAACCTATGTTTAGCTAAATCCTTAGAAGTTAAAATATGAGTAGAATATCAATTCCAAAGTAAGATGCAATGATATATATAAGTACATTTCCTCCTAATTTTTGTCTTTGTTTTTTTATTTTTTTCTCCAGATTAAATATTGTATCATAAAATAATGCATGAAAAATTGGCACAATTTAGTTGTGCTGAATATTTTTAAAGACTGACTCATATCTTGAACATTAGACTCAAAGAAGCTCATTTGAAAAGATCCCCACTAAACTATTATCTATTTATCACATTCATTTCCTCTAATTTCCATGTATACCTATATCTATATTTCTCTAGAAAAACCTAGATGCCCAGAAAAACATATCTACAAAGAATGTGGTCCCTCAAACCCTGCAACTTGTTCTAATGTGGCTCCTTTTCAAGACAGTGAATGTGTGAGTGGCTGCACCTGCCCAGAAGGTAATACACCCTATGAGAGTATTTACACTGAAACAACTGAAAACAGTGCTTCTAGTATGGTGGGTCTTATTTCTAACTAGATATTTAATGAAATCATCTATTCATAATCCATCCTCCTAGCAAACTGCAGAAGAGGGCAAGAGAGAGACTTACAAAGTTAATGTGTATGTCTATGTCTATGGTACCTGAGGGCCATAGTGCTCCACAGATCATCCTCTAGTCTTATATTGCGCTCAGTAGAAATACTCTATGGCTCAGAAAATTATACTGTTGTCAGTTCTCAAACTGGAGTAATTGCTTAAATGGAACTTACCATTTCAAGTGCATGTTTACACTTGAAGGAACTAGCTCAGGAGCACCTGGGTGGCTCAGTCAGTTAAGCGTCAGACTTAGGTTCAGGTCATAATCCCACAGTTGTGGGTTTAAGCCCTGAGTCTTGCACTGAGCTCTGTGCAGAGCCCAGAGCCTGCCTCAGATTCTGTGTTTCCCTCTCTCCGCCCCTCCTCCACTCATGCTCTGTCTCTACTTGTCTTAAAAACAAATATACACTTAAAAAATTTATTAAAAAAAAGAACTAGCTCAAGAGTGATTTCACAATTCACTGCTTGAGGATTTACTGATGTTTATATAATTCTGAGATTAATATAATATATTTATTCCAGGTTACCTATTGGACGATATTGAAGAAAAAGGGAGATGTGTATTAAAGGCTAAATGTCCCTGTGAATCAAATGGAAAGATCTATCAGTCAGGAGAAGTCCGAGATGGTCCTTGTGGTTCTCAGTGGTAGGTGCATGCTTTTTGCCCACATTTTATTAATAGCAAAATAATACTAATAGTTTAATCAATTTTAAATAATTCCTAAGTACTTAAAATAAACTTCCCAGAAATAAAATGCAACCTCACTGTATTTTCTGTGTTCATATTTGCCTTTTATCTTTTAAGGAAAGTTTAGTGTGTTTTTAAAATAAAATGTATACGCTTTCTATGTATCTTTAAAAGGTAATGCTTTTCACTAACTGAAGTAGTGTTTCAAATAGTAAGCCAATTAGTGGTTGCAAATATAAAGCAAAGAATAATATAAGAGTATGGTTACAACAAGGAAACAATAATTGTGCAAAATGCCAAGAATATTTAATAAAATGTATAATCAGAAACAATCTAATACTTTTCAAATAATTTTTATGAGGCTACATTGGTGAAGGCATATTTAATCTTTATTTATATATTATATATATTTATAATATTTATAGATATATTTAATGAGTGAATTTTAATGTGCCAAAAATTAGTGTGGACTATTTGAGTTCAGCAGCAATATGTTGATCAGAGAGAGTTCCCCATTTCTCATTACAACTTTTCTCTGAAACTCCAAATTTGTGCAGAAGTCCAGAGGACTTTTCTAGAAATGTATTATGCTCTTGTAGGGAAATAATCTGACTCAATGAAAGCTAATCTATTATTGATATTATAATATGTTCTTTATAAATGAGAAATGTTCTTGTTAGTGTGGTCATAATGCATTAGTAATAATTGTATATAACAATAGCTATGATTTATTGAATATCTATGACAGTGCTATCCAGGAGAAATATCACGTGAGTCACAAATATGACCCACATATATAATTTAACACTTTTTAGTTGATGCATTTTTAAAAAGCAAAAAGAAAGAGGTAGAATGAATTTTAATTCTGTATTTTATATACCCAAAATACAGTATTATCATTTAAAAATGAAATTAGTATGCAAAGTTAATGAGAGATTTTATGATCTGTTTTTCAGATTAAGTCTTAGAAGTCTGTGTGTATTTTACATTTACAGCAGATCTCAATCTGGATGAGTCACTTTCAAGTAATCAATAGCTATATGTCTCTATGCTATATTGAACACTGCAGGTCTATAGTGTGGCATTTAGCAGGTGTCTTAGTACTAATAGTGAAATGGGTTCCATTTAAACAAACCTGAAATCCATTTTAAAAGTTTTTATGTGTTTAATTCAGGCCGAAGCTATTATTTTAGTCCATGGCATTCAAGTCTTTTAAAAAAACAGGATGCCACCATCAATGAAACGTTTGATCAGAGTTGAGATGTTGAGTGGGAAACAAAGGTGTTCTAATAGGGGCTCCTGGCTGGCTCTGTTTGAAGACATGTGACTCTTGATCTTGGGGTCATGAGTTCGAACCCCATGTTGGGTTGTAGAGATTATTTAAAAACTTAAAACAAAAAAGATGGTCTAATAAAACTTAAGTAAATGTCTTAGTTTAAATTTTGATTTTTAATGTTGGGATATTTATTTTGGCCATAGAGAAAACACAGCTGATGACCTTTAATGTAACCATTGCATTTTACCAGCACATGCCAAGAAGCAAAGTGGTCTTGCACTGAAGCATTATGTCCTGGAAGATGTAAGGTGGAAGGAAGTTCAATCACCACCTTTGATGGTGTTAAATATAACCATCCTGGAAACTGTCATTTCTTGGCCATCCACGTATGTAATAGCCTGGAACAGTTGAGAAAACTGATGCATGTGCCAAGCTGTTTTTCATCCAATTTAAAACACAATCTTCACTTCAAATTACTATTTAAAAAATAAATAACAAGCAGCCCTTCAATTATTTGTTACATATTTTGGTACCTGTTTTCTGTCACATGTTGACATTGACCATAAGTATTACATGCACTTCTTAGAAATTCCTTGCTAAACAAACCAACAAACCCCAAAATTCCCTTCATCACTAATAATTTTCTAAGTACACTGGAAAAATATTTTCTTCTACTTTTCTTTGCATGTTTTCACTAGTGCCTCAATTGAAACTATCTTTTATGTTCCATGAAACATCTTCCTTTTTCATTTACCCCTTTACATTTATTTTTAGTTTTTATAATATACTATCACTAGTATGATAGAAGCTATCCTGACTTTTAAATTCTGTTCAGTACTAAAATTTTAAGTAATCTGGATTTCAGTAAAAGGGGAATTCCATCTTGTATCTTGTGCCTATAGCCAGCCTGAAAATATAATTTTGTTTAATCTTTTGGTAAGGAACCAAGATGAGCAGAATTTGTTACTCCTAAAGTGAGAGGGATGGCTCAAGTCCAGTAGTCTGAAAAATTCTGTCCTGGCTACTAAAAGACCATTTTCCAAATATTTCTTCCTTTTATGCTCCTCACATAATCTGTGAGGGTGGGGGATGGGCAAACTGAAAGGGAAATAACACCAAAATATGTGGAATATTTGCTTCTCCTATATTAGATTCCTAGATCGTGCAGAGAGAACTGGAAGTCAATGTTTGACATGACTTATATTTTGGTTTTACAAATTAAATACCTTTCACCTTGGGTTTAAACAGACATTGTGGATTGTCCAGAGAATAAACAAGCTATGTCATCTCTAATTCCTATTCGTCTCTGCAATGCAGCACATTCCCTTGGAGGAGATGACAAAAAGTAAAGATAAAAGAAAAAAATGAGGACTATGAAAACCCACCAATCAGACTATACTAACCCACCAATCAGATATAGTTTATGGAAGATACTTGGACCTTCTGTAAAGTGGCCATTTCTACACTTACCATGAACTGAACGAGGTTTTACTTTCAGAGCAGACAAAGTATATGTAGGAATTGTACATGTTTTAAATGCAAACATGCATTGTGAATGAATCATGCAGTAATAGCATATAATCAATGACATTTAATAAATATATCAATGAAATGCGTTTTTTAACAGGATAAAGATTGGTCTGTTAGCGTTGAACTTCGTCCCTGTCCAAATGGTCAGTCAGGAACGTGCTTAAATAGTGTTACACTCCTCTTGAATTCGGTGAGTAGTCCACTCCCTAAAGTTTATCCAGAGCAAAATAAAGTCAATTACTTCACAAATTCAGAATTTTTGTGTCAGAAGAGAGGCTTTACTCTGTAAATTGAAATAACAAGTGATATTGTACAGAAAATTGATACTGTCCCTGGAAGAGGTAGATACTTCTAAGGATCCTTAAGTACATAAAAGTTATCATACGTATACAACTAATGCACTAATTACAGATCAACTTATGTGCTTATTAAATTATTAAACTCTGTGGGCCATTTAAAAGGCAATTATATTTGTTTAGAATTTCATGTATTTGGAAGTGACATAGTAAAAGGAGATAGACCTAAATGGTGAGGGAGGACATTGAGACTTGCCTTTGGTACTTAGAAGGCTTCTGACATTTAGAAATGTAAGTTATCTTCTTGAGTTTCAGTTTCCTCATCTACAAATTAGGGATGGAAATTCCTTTACAATACTTCTCAAAGAATTGGTATAAGAAGCAATGAAAAAACATATGAGGAGTGCTTAAAAAATGTTCTATATTTTAGATATTAAAAATTAATTTAAGGAGTGCCTGGGTGGCTCAGTCGGTTCAGCATCCAACTTCGGCTCAGGTCATGATCTCCCCGTTCATGGGTTCAAGACCTGCGTCAGGCTCTGTGCTAACAGCTCAGAGCCTGGAGCCTTCTTCAGATTCTGTGTCTCCCTATCTCTCTGTCCCTCCCCCGTTAGCACTCTGTATCTGTTTTTATTATTAGTAAATGATAATTACTATTTATCATCACCATAGTAATTATATATAATAAAAATATAATATTATTTTATTTGTATTTTATTTAATATTAAAATAATAATAAGATAAAATTAATCTAGTAAAATTAAACACTTTATGGCATAAAAATGAAGGTGCATATATTGCATTAAAATGAATTAGTATTACAAATTAACATGAACTAACAATTGTTTTAAATATCAGTCTGTTTCAGTTGACAAATATATATTCAATAGAGATGGAACAGTCACAAATGATAAGATTAGAAATCAAGGTTATTATTATTCAGGTAAGTTTAATAAATCCACTTAAATGTAAGATGCATTCACTTATTCAATTTTTAAGGATATCAAATGTGTGTTTTTTAACACATGAAAATATAAAACCATTTTAATGAATTAAAAATTGTTCACTATTTAAATTATTACTCTTAATGTTAATAATTATTTTAACAGACCAAATGCAGATCTTCAAAGCATCTTCCTCATACCTTCAAGTAGAAACAAACTTTCATGTAAAGATGCAGATACAGATTGTTCCTGTGATGCAATTATATGTTTCCATGCCACCCAACCAATTCACAGACACTGTAGGTAAGTCCCCTGGATATGTTTTTATTTCCAAGGTTCTAATGTTACTATCACTTATTTTAATTTTCAATTGTTTCTCAATTAATGACATTATGCATAAAGCATTTTTACTTAATCTTCCTTTCAATATTGCAGTAAAACAGTTTTAACTTACAGTAAAGATGGTTTTATTTATTACAAAATCTATTCCTAAATGGTTTTCCACAAATTTAAGGTTTTTAAATTAAGGTGTTTTAAAGTCAGGTTTGATAATATAGGATATATATCACTTTGCTAATGTAGATTACCAGAGCTTTTGCCTGTAGAAGATGAAAATATTATACTTAGACATCTTTTGAATATCAAGTTTCAAACACAAACTACATTACAATTTGTCTTCCTGCTGATAGATCACATGTTCTTATCTTTCACTGCTGTTTTCTGTCATAGAAATCAGCTCCCACATAGTGTCATGGATGTCAGATAAAACAAGACAGTGGCAAATCCCACAGCTACTAATTTCAAAAGTCTAAGCTTTTGCACCATGTCTTTACTTGAAAAGGTGACTTATTTATACATAGGGAAAAAAATGTAATCCCTGGATCCAGATCAAATGCATATGGCCCTTAACATGATTCAGCTCTCCACGCTACAACTGAAAATGTGCAGTCCCAAACATCCTATTTGTAAGCATGTTTCCCCCCACCTTGTCAGAGGAGGTTAAGTAAGCTATAGTGACAAACAGGAAACACACAATATTTATGGAAAATAGTGTCTCAGTGCTCCTGGTATTTGAATAAAATGGGATATTAATCTGAAGTGTCATGAATTTTGCTTGTATGTGTAAAGACTAACCAAGACATACACGCTCAGGTAGCTTCTATGTGTTTTGATTTGAGTGAAGAACTGAATATGAGGTGAGACTATGAATCCAAAAAGGCGAGTAGGTGAGGAAATGTTAAAATTTGTTTTGTGCTCTATACAGGACTCTGTGGTTCCTACAACAACAGAGCAGAGGATGATTTCATGTCAAGTCAGAATATATTGGAGAAAACGTCTCAGGCATTTGCTGATTCTTGGGAAATGATGCCCTGTCCTAAAGGAAACCCCACTTCATGCATCAGTATAGAAAAAGGTATTGGTAATTGAACATTAAACTCTGTGATTAAATATTTGGTACTAGGAATTGTATACTTATTCTGTTAATGATATGAGACTCTCAGATAATCCTGCTTTTAGCTAGTGCTTGTTTTACTGTACCTGTTTTACAGGGAACAGTGGAGAACCAGTCTGGCTGGCTGAGAGCGCAACTAGAAAACACATCTTTCATTGGGGAGGGGGATCAACATATTTGTCTTTTTCTATACGCATTCTTTTCTTTCTTTGACAGTTTTCTTCATAGCTATAGAATAGTAGGGTTAGAGGAAATTTTACAGATCATTTCGTTTATTATTCTTACCCTTTATTTTAGGCATGGAAATGATCATTGGTTGAAATAATGAGACTCCCCCAAATTGCTCAGCTACTTAACAATAGAGCTGTAGCTAGATCCACATCTCCTAACTACTGCTATCATGTCTGTTAATTATACCAACCCCCAAATACAGATCTTACGAGGAAAACTTTACACTTGTAGGATTCAGCTCATGTTTTAGCTTACCGAAGATTTCCATAAATATTGGTTCCATTTATTCCCACAAACACTCATGAAGAGCACGGACGTAGTTATTATCTCCATTAAGGTTGATGTTGATAATGGACTCCAGATAGAGTGTACTTAATAAGGGTTAAAGATGAATCTGTCACCCAAGTATTTTATTTTTATTTATTTAATTAAAATATTTTTATTGAAGTACAGGTGACATCCAATGTTATGTTGATTTCAGGTGCACAGCATTGTGATTCTACAAGTCTATACAATATGTCCTGCTTACCACAAGTGTAGCTACTGTCTGTCACCATACCATGTCATTACAACACAATGGATTACATCCCCTATACTGTACCTTTTATCCCTGGGACTTATGCATTCCATAACTACGAGTCTGTATCTCCCATTCCCCTTCACCCATTTTGCCCATCCCCCAATCTCCTTCCCCTCTGGCAAACATCAGAGTCCTCTGTATTTATCGGTCTGTTTCTGATAATCCAAGTATTTTGAATCAAAGACTTGCTCTGATTGTTCCCATACTTAGTGTTGTTGATTTTAACAAACACTTTGTTACTTCTTTCGTAAATAATGAAATTCAATGGAAAGTAAGTTAAAATATATTGTTTATATGTTAATCAATTGTCTCTAAATTAATCTCCATATTTGAAGCAAATGTCTGATCAGCTTTTGACAATATTTAAAAATTACAAAGCAATTTCTTTTGAAAGTTTCTTTGACTAATGAAAGGGGTTGATAGAAGCATTAACATCCACATGGTAATATGCATTTGAAGGTTCAATTTTCATGTTATTTTGTTTTGTAGGTGTTGCAATGAAAATAATTAAAATGAGAATAAATGAAAACAAATGTATATCTCATAAGAACCCAAGCCAATTTTTGTTAAGGAGACTGTATTAACACTTTTGAGAGCTATATAAATTAACTATTTCTATTTTCAATATTTTATATTTAACTTAAAATAAAATACAGAAAATGAAACTATGCTGTAATAAGCTGTTAGTAATATTAACATAAAAAATGGTAATACCTGGTTAAAAGTTTGTCAAATTTTAGGAATAATTGGCCTCAATGTCCTTTTATTTTTATTTATTTTTTAAATGTTTATTTATTTATTTATGAGAGAGAGTGAGAGCACAAGCAGGGGAGGAGCAGAGAGAGACAGAGGGACACAGAATCCAAAGCAGTCTCCAGACTCAAACTCACAAATCATGAGATCAAAGTCAGATGCTTAACTGACTGAGCCACGCAGGTACACCTAGAAACAATTGGCCTCAATGTCCTCTTAATAGATTCAGTCAGCTTCTTTATTGCATCCTGGTGACAGTAACTTTTAAAAGCCAATTGAAAGATGGTTAAAAAAATTAGCAATCCTTCTTCTAGTCACTGACATCATCTTTAAGTATTTGCAAATCATTGAGCAAAGCATTTGTTACTCAGATGTTATTTTTGTGAACTTCATTTTCTGTTAATTTAATACAAGAAGTGATTTACGAAGCAACCAAATATCAATTCAGCCCGTAAAAAATAAAATGTGTGTTTGAATTGTTGATACTGCTTGTCCTAAAACTGACATGATTATTGTGGCAACAGGGTGAGGTGGTGCTGGTGTTGTGATGATTTCATTTTACCCACTTGCTATGTACCTGAATAAATAATCTGGTTCCCTTAGTCCCATATTTTTTGGTAGAAATTGCGTTTTGCAAACAGGTTAACTGATTTAGTACAAATATATGAAGCTAATAAAGATTTTTCCACTTATTCCAGTTATGGAATAAGTAAGTCATTGGGTTGAAAGGAACAGCGTAGGGAATATAGTCAGTGGTATTGGTATTGGAATAGCATCGTATGGTGACAGATGGTAACCACACTTGTGAACGCAGCATAATGTATAGAGTTGTCTAATCCCTATGTTGTACACCTAAAACTAGTGTAATATTGTGTGTTTGTACTTCAATTTAAAAAAAGATTTTGCCTCTTAGTTTAAGGTGTTACTGGTTATATCATGCTATTTTTGTATATATTGATAATAAGTTAGATATGTTCTAGCAAAAACATTTTACTGTTTAACTTTTTAAAGTTTATTTATTTTGTGGTGGCCGGGGGTTGGGGGTGCAGCAAGGGGCAGAGAGCAAGGGAGAGAGAGAATCCCAAGCAGGCTCCATGCTCTGCTCAGAGCCTGATATGGGGCTCTATCTCATGATCCTGAGATCATGACCTGAAGCAGAATCAAGAGTTAAGCCCTTAACCAACTGAGCCACCCAGGTGCCCTGAAAAACACTTTAAAAACACAATCACACATTTTCAATTAAAAATTATGACATTACTGATACTAATTTTGAGTGCATTAAATTTCTTCCAGAAAGATATGCTGAAAAGCACTGTGGAATTCTTCTTGATTCAAGTGGACCTTTTGCTTCCTGCCATCCAATTGTGAATCCTAAACTATATCATGAGGTATGTGAGGGTCTAAGATTAACAGCTCTTTTTGCAAACTATTCTGATAATATCAATAGAAGCCTGTAGACATTAAAATTTTTCAAATAACAGGCACTGTCAGTACATTAAGACATAGCTTTAAACTTAACATTATTCAGTTGTTAGATATACGAATTAAAAAAAAAACAGTCCTGGCAAATAAGTTGGAATGACAAAAATCTTTTTTTTTAATGTTTATTTTTTTTGAGAGAGAGAGAACAGAGCGTGAGCTGGGGAATGCAGAGAGATAGGGAAACAGGCCCTGAGTTGTCAGCACAGAGAAGGATGTGGGGCTCGACCCCACGAACAATGAGCTCATGAACTGAGCTGAAGTTGGACACTTAACCTACTGAGCCACCCAGGCACCTCTGGAATGAGAAAAATCTTGAATAAGTTCCTCTTTCTGAGTTTTCTAAGTTTGTGGAAAACTTAGTTAATAATTGATTTACTACTTTCCATATTTCAAAAGGAAGTATTTCCCAAAGTTCAAGACAGATTATTTTCAAGGAAGAAGAGTGGTCATAAACTGAATTAAGATACCCAGTTTACCTGTTCTTGTGAACATTTTCCTAAAGTAATATGCATTTATTTCTTACCTTAAAGGAATGCAAAAAATACACTTGCACTTGTGACAAGAGTGAAGATTGTTTGTGCACGATTTTAGGCAACTATGTAAAAGCGTGTGCTGAGAAAGAAACATACATAGTGGAATGGAGAACTGGACTATGTGGTAAGCAGGACAGGGGCTTTAGATGACTCCCTTCTCACTTTTACTATAGTGTGTGTGTGTGTGTGTGTGTGTGTGTGTCTGTGTGTGTAGTTTAGAAACATGTATTTACAAACTTGTACTTGGTTCTTTCAAAGATGATTTCCTGTTTTTTTTTGAAATATGTTTGAGTTATCCATGCAGTTTTACTTCTTGATTCTTTGATCTTGATTTAAATAAGAACAGAATATATACATATTTATATATTAACATGGGTTTCTGTTTAGTTATTATATGCTGAAATTTAATATTCCAACTCCTACTACATTTTGAAGTGTTAAATATTAGTGACATTTTTAAGAAAATAAAAATAACTAAATTAGGAGTTCAACTATCATATGTATTGAATCCTGCATTTTTTTTAACATATTTATTGTAGTATTTGAATATGACTTCAGAAAAATACATGGCTTACCCAAAAAAAGAAAACTTTATAGAAATACATGTCTTGTAGATCACAATACCTCATAGCTCATTTCCCATCAAAGGTCTGTCAAGTTCACCTCCAAAATTTCTCTCAAATACATTCACATCTCTCCATCTCTATGGCCACCAACCTACTTCAAAAAAAAAAAAACAACTCTTTTTTTTTTTTCTCCTGGGTTATTTCAATTGCTTCCTTTAATATCCACTTTTTCTACAAAGAAGTCAGGATAATCTTTAAAGTAAAACCAACTAAAACTAACCTGATCGGAGTGCCTGGGTGGCTCAGTCGGTTAAGCGACCAACTTCGGCTCAGGTCATGATCTCACGGTTCATGAGTTTGAGCCCACGTTGGGCTGTGTGCTGACAGCTCAGAGCCGGGAGCCTGCTTCAGATTCTGTGTCTGCCTCTCTCTGCACCTCCCCTGCTCATGCTCTGTCTCTCTCTGTCTCTTAAAAAATAAATAAATGTTAAAAAAAAAAACTAACCTGATCATTTGATATTTCAGTCTAAAATGAGTCAATGGCTTCTCATTGCTCTAAGGCTAAAGAGCAAACTAAGAGGGCCCTGCAAGTTCTAATCACTGATTTTGTGTCTGGGCTTATACCTTCTATTCTTCTTGCTCTTTGAAAGAATTTCCCTGTCTTCTGATGTAGGCTGTTCCCCAGGCATAGAATTACCTTTCTCTAGGAAGCTTTCATGCTCTACATAGACCGCAAGTTCCCAGTTGTACATACTTAGAGCTTCCCATCTTGCTTCTTTATAGCACGTGCCACAATTGTCCTTTCCCCAGAAATATAAGTCACATGATAGCAGTGTATTTCCTATCTTGTTTATGGGCTTTATCCCCAACAGAATATGTAAACATATAGTAGGGACTCAATATTGACTGCAAATAAAAAAAGAATGAAAAATACCAGTGAACAGCAAGTAACTTTTTCTTGACTATTCATAACCTCAATTGTGAATAATTCACTATAATATCTATAAACATCAAGATGAAATAGAATTGCTACTTTTCCTGGATGCATACATATTTAATATTTTTTATTCCTATACCAACAGATCACTCTTGCCCAAGTGGCCTGGTTTTCAAGTACAATGTAAAAGCCTGCAATAGTTCTTGTCGATCATTGTCAGAGAGAGATAGGAGCTGTGATGTAGAAGATGTTCCAGTTGATGGATGCACTTGCCCTGATGGAATGTACCATAATAATGAAGAGAACTGTGTTCCAAAATCTCAGTGTGACTGCTACCTAAATGACGAGGTCATACAACCAGGCAAACTCATCCATATTGATGACAATAAATGGTATGGAAATTGCATATATACTTGTTATGACTTTGAAATCAGGGGACTGTCCTTTTCAGAGAAATAGACGTCTCCTAAAGTCTTCTTTAGACCTACCACATTTTAAAATTTGTATTTATTAAAGTTAGTTATTGCTCCCTTTAACCTGATGTGCTCACGGCATCATAATGGCTCTAACTGATTTATTCTACTTTTGTTTGATTTCAAATACCAATATAAAAACATTCTAGCATGCCCTACATACAGAGGATGCAAAAATGATTTTATATTCAAACGATGTTTTCTAGTTGTCTCTCAGCATTCACCATTCAACAAACACTTATTAAATAGATATTTGCCATGTTCCAGGCCTTGTGCTGAGGGCTAGAATTACAAAGATGAAGGAACATTGCCTTTGTCTCACAGAATGAGCAGGGTGCTCGCTTTTGCAAGGTTTGTATACTATAATATGGTAGGAGAAAGAGCCAGTTAGTGCCTGAGCAGATAAGAAGAACTTTTCAGAGGAGACTAGCACTTGAGTTTTACTAGGATTTGAAACTTTTTCCAGACAAAATTGGGGTAGGAAGAGAGATTTCCAATAGCGTAAACAGAACACACTAATATAGGAAATGCTTGAAAAGTATTGTGCATGTAGGTTCTCGTTGGGCTGGAAAGGATTGGGCTGGAAAAGTAGACTGTGGCCAGGCTGTACTCAAGAATTTGAACTAAGTTCCTGGGAAGTAGGAGAAGTTGAAGAATTGTGACTTTTTGTAATGGCTAAGGAGATTGTGATTCTGCAGTTTTGGGCAAAGTAATTTATCTGTATCTTTAATTCCATAGGCAGAGGTAGCAATTCTTAGCAATGTAACTGTAAAAATGAAGTAGCCATTCCAAGAAATTTTGGATACACCTTCTCTTTTCTTTGGTTCCATGAAACTATCATTTAGAAATGGATTATTTTTTCTTGGCCATTTAAAAGGAAAGCCTAGGTAAAAACCTCTTTCTATTACAGCACACAAGACATTTGGTTGGGGTTTGATCATCATACTTTTCTCTGTAGATGTTGAGGAATCAGTAGGTAGATTACCTTTTTAGTGAAACCTGGGCTACCGCCTCCAAATTATGGTTCCCTTTATCATTACCCTATTTCAGATCCCCATCACTACCATGATTGTTAAGTTGGCTGCTCTTTGCCCTGTCTCTGTGTCTCATATTTCTTGCACTACCTCTATAATGACTAATGTGAAGCATTATTCTGATTGTGCCACTTACCTGCTCAGGAGCTTTAATGGTGACAGTTGCCTAAAGAATAGACATAAGCTTGCACGTCATTTAAGACCATCCAAAATCTGGCCCTGCCTTGCTTTTACCACTTCTCCCTATCCTACTTACTGCTTTCTATCCAAACAAGTCATTGGAACATACCTTGTTGTTTCCTGCATCACAGCTTTGTATCTTATGAGCAGTTATCTGTTGAATCTAATTCATCCATCAAGATACAGCCATCATTTTCATGTGTTCTCTGATACCCATAGAACCTTGCTTGTATATTCCTATAATATGCACAAGGCTGCATGTTATAACTGGGTGCGTGTTATTTCTGGGCAGTGTGTCTCATCCATTTACTTGGATAAAACTTGTGAATAAGGGGTAAAAGTTTCTCTAACAGTGTATTAAGAAGTTGTCATTGAAGTTTGATGTTTAAATGTATAATTTTCTTCTATTTTCAGTGTCTGTCGGGATGGAATTCTTCTTTGCCAGACTCCCATTGATTTAACCCTACGTAAGTGTTGAAATCATAATTTAAACTTAAAATATCTACTTGGGTTAAACCAAGCACATCAAGAGGCCCTTGATTAACAACTTCCTTTATCCTGCAGAGAATTGTTCCGGAGGGACTGAATTTGTTGACTGCAGGGACCCGAAGGCACAGAGAAGAGTTGACAGTACCTGTAGCACTCGGAACATACCTAGTTTTGATGTAAGGAACATGGCTTTGCAGTTAAACTTTTTGAAACTTTTCATTGTGTCAGGATAGAAGCCAACCAAAACATCAGTGAAAAAGAATTCGAAGGTCATATTTATTGTGTGTTATTTTGACTTGTCAAATGTTGGCTCTAAATGGATACTTGGTATATATTTATGCATGGTAAATGGATGCTGATAATGTGACATGTTACAGCAGCACCTGATGATGTATATTTTATATTTGTTCCTATAGGAGAACTTGCCTTGCAAACGTGGGTGCTATTGTCCAATTGGCATGGTTCGAAATTCTAAAGGAAACTGTGTCTTTCCTGAAGACTGCCCATGTTCTTTTGGTGGACAGGAGTATGACCAGGGAAGCGTTACCTCGGTTGGCTGCAACAAATGGTGCATAATAAAGAATTACTATAGGGGTACCTGGGTGGCTCAGTTGGTTAAGCGACAACTCTTGGTTTTGGCTCAGGTCATGATCTTGCATTTTGTGGGTTCAAGTTCTGCTTGGGTTCTGTGCTGACAGTGTAGAGTCTGCTTCGAATTCTCTCTTTGTCCCTCTCTCTTTGCCTTTTTCTCTGTCTCTCTTGAAATAAATCAACTTTAAATTAAAACCTTAAAAAATAAAAGACTATTTCATATGTTTTGGATATTAGAAAGTATAGTCTGCTCTTATTTTATAGGAAAGAAGTCATACTTTGAGATATTTGAAGAATAATGGTCAAATATAGTTAAAATGCTATTTTTAAAATAGAAACTATAATTTTATTTTTTATTGAAGTATTGTTGACATACAATATTTTATTAGTTTTAGGTGTACAGCCTTATGATTCAACAATTGTATACATTATGCAGCGCTCACCACAATAAGTGTTGTTACCATCTGTTGCCATACAAAGTTATTACAATATTATTGACTGTATTCCCTAGGCTATATTTTATGAAATAGAACCTTTATTTGGCATTTTCTATGGTTAACATGATATAATGAAGACAACTGCCAAATTTAAGTCAATATAAAACAAGGTTTTGTGCTTCTTTACAAAAACAGTGTGAGAATGTGAATATTGGCATAATATAATTACCTCACTCTATCATTTTTTTTTCTTTTAGTACTTGCATAAAAGGGTCTTGGAGCTGTACACACAATGAATGTCAAACCACCTGCCATATCTATGGGGAAGGTCATGTTAGAACTTTTGATGGAAAAAGTTACAGCTTTGATGGTCTCTGCCAGTATTCATTTCTTGAGGTAATTACTAGTGTGTTTTATCACAATTCTTCTATACTTAATAATTATTATTTATCTGCAGATGCTCTCTGGAGAATTTTATTCTCAAAATGTGAAATTTAAACAAATGGCCCCTTACGTCTTTCTCAAAGACAGTACAATATAACAGTATCATGCTGACTTGGGAGGCGGTAGGTCTAGATTTCAACCTTGGCTCTACCCTTTCTCTGATGTGTGACTTTGGGCACATTCCTTAAGCCCTCTGTGTCTCCGTTTCCTTATCTATAAAATGGGGATGGAAACAGCTCCCTTGAAACCAAATTTGGGCAAATATTGGAGCACATACTAAGTGCTCAGTGAATGCTAGATATTTAACAACAGCGCTATCAGCAACGACAGTTACCACTTTATGAGTGCTTCTTTGCCAAAGCAAATTGATTACATTTAATCACTGCAATACTCAAAGGCTGATATTATTATTCCTATGATGCAGATGAAGAAATTGAGGCTTAGAGAGGTTAAGCAACATGAACTAAGTAGAAAATGTCGTATTCAAAACCAGATCTGTGTGATTCCAGAGTTCACACTTGTTACATGCTGCTAAGCTGCTTCCTAAGTAATATCTAATTTCCTGAAATTTGGATTGTTTTATGCTTTAAATTTATATTGTTTTATATTTATGCAAATTTCATAAAAATCGGTGAGGGGAAATAAACAACTTTATCTAGTTATGTACAGAGCCTAGAAATAAATCAATGATTATAAGCCATGTTATATAATTTAAATACTTATGTAATATGTTATAAGTCTAAACTTTTATAAAATATTACAAAAGGATCGAGTGAAAGCAAATTAACTAGGTTGGATTCAGCCAGGGAGGGCTACCTCTCCATATATGCAGTTAAATTATTGTCTTCTGGACATTCCATAACACAGCATATGGTAATTTATTGAGTTTAAGGTATCACTGTCTAAGAATTCTTTGTCTGATGCAAATATTGTAATTGAGTTCCACGTCCCTGATATTTATAAAGTATTATGATAATTTACTTTTAAAGGATTATTGTGGTCGTGAAAATGGCACATTCCGTCTCTTAACTGAAAGCGTCCCATGCTGTGAAAATGGGCTTACATGCTCAAGAAAAATCATAGTTGCTTTTCAGGTATGGTACTGTTTCTCTTTGTATATTTTTTCTCTCAGATTATGAGTGGCCAGATAAAACTGATGTTATCATAAGTCTGTCTTTTAATTTATAGGATCAGAATGTTGTTCTGCATGATGGGAAAGTAACAGCAGCCAAAACTACAGAAAGTAAGGAATGTGAAATCAGTGGAAATACATATTCTGTACATACTGTTGGCCTGTACTTGATTCTGAAATTTTTAAATGGAATAACCATAATTTGGGACAAGAATACAAGAGTTTCTGTTATACTGGATCCACACTGGAATGTATGTATATCACTAATAAGTGATTAACGGGGAAACAAAATAATTTCTGTTTCTGAGACGTAGAGACAATTCATCAGCGGAAAGTGAGAGAGTGGTAGTTTCTTTCATAGAATAAGCCTTCCACAACTGTTCAACCTTATGATGAAATAAGAAATGTAATCAAAGATGACAGGACCTGGTGAAAACTAAATGCAATAAACCTGAAGCGTTCTAGTTTAACCATATTTGGTTACTTGAGATTATTGCATAATACAATTTTAAGGTAGCTGGTGAATATATAGAATTAAATATATTTCTTAGAACAAAAATTCTAAGAGCCTAAGAGTTTACTCACGTATGATTTGAAGCTAGTGAATATAATTATTTTTTAATAATTCTTAATGCATTTATCTTATTTGATACTAGATCATTTTGTGATATAGGATATCTTGGGTTAAACAGTACCAGGATCTTATCCACAGATTTTAATTTCCTTTTAAAATTTGGAATTTAAAATGGATTTATGGTGGGGGCACCTGGCTGACTCGGTCAGCAGAGCATGTCAACTCTTGATTTCAGGGTTGTGAGTTTAAACAACATGTTGGGTATGGAGCCTACTTAAAAAAAAAGGGGGGGGGCACCTGGGCGAATCAGTGGCTTGAGTGTCTGACTCTTGATTTTGGCTCAGGTCATGATCTCATGGTCATGAGATCGAGCCCCGCATGGACTCTATGCTGAGTTGGAGCCTGCTTAAGAGTGTCTCTCCCTCTCCCTGTGCCCCTCCCCCTGTCTCATGCTCTCTCTTCAAAAATAAAATAAAATACAAAATAAGAATAAAATAAAATAAAATAAATAAAGTAGATCTATGATACTATAAATGATCATAACATCTTTACGTATCTGTCTCTGTATACCACTATAGTGCAACTCACTTGTTAATTTTCCCTTCTGATCTCATCTCTTCATATATCTATATCCCTACTACAACCTACTTGTTAACTTCCCTTTCGGATCTCTACAGGGCAAAGTATGTGGTCTTTGTGGAAATAACAATGGTGATCTCAAGGATGATTTCACAACACGATATTCATCAGTAGCTGCTGGAGCACTGGAATTTGGAAATAGCTGGAAAACCAGTCAAGAATGTTCAGACACAGTAGCTCAAGCTTTCCCGTGTGACTCAAACCCATACTGTAAGGCCTGGGCTGTGCGGAAATGTGAGATCATCCGGGACAGCACCTTCAGAGACTGCCACAGCAAGGTAGTATGGCTCTGAGAGCAGGGACCTGCACAGGCTTTGCTCCCAGAGACTCATGGGCCGTGTTCTCTAGGTGGACCCCAATGCCTACTATGATGCATGCATTGAAGAAGCCTGCGCATGTGACATGGAGGGGAAGTACCTGGGATTCTGCACAGCTGTGGCTATGTACGCAGAGGCGTGCAGTGCGGTTGGAGTCTGTGTCAGGTGGAGAAAACCAGAGCTCTGCCGTAAGTGAGGTCCATGTGTTGTTCTTATAAAAGGTGATTAGATAGCATTGTTTTGTTAGGTGATCGATCTTCTTTCCATATTTTCTATAAAATACATACTCTTGTGCCTAGAAAGTTTTCAAAACATGTTAATATGTTTATGATGGGAAAAATCCCTATTTTTAAAAGTATAGCACCTGGCACAGTACATCAAATTCAGTTGGAGTTTCTGAAGTTCTTATAACAGGGGAGGAATTAAATACTGATGGAAAGTATCTCTTATTCATACTTAGATGAACAATGAATTGTTTACCTAACTTGGTGTAGCCATATATCCTTGAACATTTACCTCATCTACTTTGGGTTCAAGTCCTTACACATTATCTTAAAAACGTTTATAGAGCCCTAGTCTTGATACATATATCGATAAGTATGGAATGTGATAATTTTGGTAGAAATCAGCTCTTTCCCTTCTAATGGAAAGTATTACGAGAGAAAATATGACAGATGAGAAATATTGACATTGAATCCACATTTTATTCTTTATTATGCAAAGTGTTATATTGAAATCTTTAGTTACCTCATTCAGGAACTGTTATTTACACATTAAAGTAGCCTCCTTTTCCCAGAGATTTATTTTTGCAATTTAGTCTTGAACAGTAAAACTATGAATCTAGACTATGACCTAAAATACCTTAAAATGGGAAAATTAGTCTTTACTTTTCTACCCCAAACCAACTTTGTGAGGTGTCAAAGGAAAGTGCTGTTTTGATCCTATACGCTCCCCCTCCGTTTTTTGTGAGCTATTTTGGCTTATCGGCCAATTTGGATAAAGCCAAAGGAACCTGACAAGATAGAATGATATACCCTAGGTCTGTTTATTTGTTAATATCATTCAAAAATGCTTTGGAAAGGGAAAGGTGAAAATTGTTACATAATAGATGGAAGTAATTTGATACAATTAAATTACAGCTGTCTACTGTGATTATTACAATGCCCCTGGGGAATGCAGTTGGCACTATGAACCTTGTGGTACAGTGACTGCAAAAACTTGCAAAGATCAAGTTATTGGCCAGAAATTTTCTGCACTTTTAGAAGGTAAGGTAAATTTTAGTAATATCCATGAAGTAGTGCAAATTATATTGATATTTGAATACTGAAAATGTTATTTCTGCCAATTCAGAATCTTACGTTTTACTATTTATTTATGTATTCATTCATTCATTTACTTGATGTTTACTTATTTATTCTTGATGGTGAGGGGAGAGAGAGGGAGACAAAGAATCCCAGCCTGGCTTGGTACTGTTCCTGTAGAGCCTTACACAGGGCTCCATCTCGCAAACCACGAAATCATGACCAGAGCTGAAATCAAGAGTCAGATGCTTAACCGACTGAAGCCACCCCGGTCCTCACATTCTGTACTTTAACGAATAGGCATTTATACTTGTTATGACATTAATATTTCTACATAAGAAACATTTTCTCTAGGGGCCCTTGGGTGGCTCAGTCGGTTGAGTGGCCAACTTCGGCTCAGGTCATGATCTCACGGTTTGTGGGTTGGAGCCCTGCATTGGGCTCTCAGGTGACAGCTCAGAGCCCAGAGCCTGCTTCAGATAATGAGTCTCTCTCTCTCTCTCTCTCTCTCTGTCCCTCCCTCGCTCATGCTCTGTCTCTGTCTCTCTATCTCTCAAAAATAAACATAAAAAATGAAACATTTCCTCTAGACATATATTATCTGTTTAATAAGACAGACAAGCAGTGGGGAGAATGCAGTGCTTCAGTCCCATTGTCAATTTTTATACTTTTCATTAGACAATATAGTTTGTTGAGAATGTAGTTTCAGAATGCAATGTATTATATAGTCCAATTAACTATATCCCACACGTCATCAGCACTTTCTTCTTAGCATTTCATATCTTGGAAAGGAAGAAGTGGCAAGAAAATAAGAAGATGCAGTAACTTCCCAGAGTCACCTCTGTGTTAGATCCCAGTCTCTGGGATCTTTTCAGCTTACTTTATTATGACACCTGGATCTTCATCTATCCTTACAAAAAATAGATATTTAGAATTGGCATTCACATTTCAAGATATGTATTTATCAAAGTGTTGTATTACATTCAACATCATACCATCATTAAAGTTGCAAATTATTTTAAAATACTTCAGGAAACATTTTAGAAAAATAAATCAGTGAAAATGTATAAGTTCTCAGTTCTTAGGTTGATATTCTATTGCAAGAAGATCTGAATCCTGTACAATTTATATGTTTTTATTAAGAGTATGATGTCATTTTGCTGTTATCTACTTCAGTTCATGTAGGCATTTAAGTAACTTTACAAATATATAATGCAATGTGACAAGTTTCTGTAAACAGAAATGAACCATGGGTCATCTTTCATACAGGATGTTATGCTAAGTGCCCAGATAGCGCTCCTTATCTGGATGAGAACACCATGAAATGCGTCAGTTTATCTGAGTGCAGCTGCTTCTATAATGATATCATACCAGCAGGTGGAGTGATTCAGGATAACTGTGGAAGAACATGGTACATTCTCTATTAACTTTCTAAGAAGCAATTCCGTTCCTTGCATTTTCATTTATAAAAAAAATTAAGTATACATGTATAATTTTTAGCTTTCCTATTTCTAAATGATAAGGCTAGCATTAGGTTCAATTTTTTGTCAGTAATGCTAGTTATTTCATATTTTCAGTAAATCCATATGTCAACAAATGGCTTGTTAAATCTTATAATGAGGAAAACAGGAACAGAAAATGTCACTGGTAATTTTAGGTAAAAAGAAAGTTTTAATTCTATAAATGCAAGATCATGTTTACAGGCTTCAGACAGTGACATGGAAGCAAACAGGAGAAGTCTCTACAAGAGCAGCATGGCCAAGATGTCAGGTTTAAAGCTGAAAATGTAAGAACTAACTGTACAGCTTGACTGCAAAGCATTTTTTTAGGTGTCAAGAACACTGCAGTGAAATGATTAGGAATAATGGTACAGTACATCAAAAAATAAATGTCCTTTGGGGAAATGATTATTTATTGTTCCCTTATTTGGTATTGTTTCGATTCTCATGGTTAGACTATTTTTTGTTTCAAATTCGGGAGGTGTATGCCGGTAGGAGTCAAAATTTCAACCTCATTTTTTTTTTAATTTAACTTTCAGCTATTGCATCGCAGGAGAGTTGGAGTGCAGTGGTGAGTCTTTGCATTTTATTCTAATTGAATTAGGGAAGACAAGGTACGGGGTTTGGGATCCTTTCAGATCATCAACAGAAAAAGGGGTAGGTACTTAAGGCTTAAACTGCTCCTCCCTCAGTGGTTTGGACAATTCCATTGCTGTGTATTTGTTCATGTTGTGTCATTTCAAAACCAATGCTGCCAAGGCATTTCCAACAACTAGCAAGTAGGTAGTCCTCCTGCTGCATGGAAGCCCCTGCCTATCTGTAGGCTCTGGGAATTAAGGCAGTAAGACATCACTCAAAACAGATTCATGAAGGGATGGAGCTGAAAGGTCAGGATTAGATAAGATAGAATTAAATAATTGAGGGATCACTCATGAGCAACAAATCTTAAAGATGAATCTCAATAAGCTTTAAAAAAAAATATGAGCTACTCCCTGGTTTGTATTAGAAATTGCAGGGAGTAAAATAAACAAGATACAAATAATTCATTGGCAATTTGAGATTTTAGACTTTTTCACCCTTTTTCATTCTTCTCAATAATAGTAACTTATGTTTATTTCAGAAACTGCTCCTACAAATTCAACATTCACAGGTAAAATCATCATGGTTTTCTTTTTTAAAAAAGTTTTAAAATGTTTATTATTTTTGAGAGAGCGAGAGCGAGAGAGGGAGACACGTAATGCTAAGCAGGCTCCAGGCTCTGAGCTGTCAGCACAGAGCCCGACACAGGGCTCAGACTCGTGAACCATGAATCGTGACCTGAGCTGAAATCTGACGCTTAACCACCTGAGCCACCCAGGTGCCCCAAATCATCATGGTTTTCAATGTGTAGCTCTGATTTCTTTTTGTGGATAATCCTTTACAGTTTCACATCAGTCTATGCCAGTGAAAAATATGGTGGTAAATCTGATACAAAAATTTCAAATTAGAATGAACAGTTACTAGAAAATCTGTCAAAATGTTATTTTACTCTAGTGTATTCAGCTAGGAATATGATTAGAACATATATTAGGTAATGTATGCTTATTAGTTAAATATCATCATCCAAAGCTTGACATTTTTAGATAATAATTGGAACACGTGGAATGAAAATGAGTTAAATGTGGTCTCCCATGGAGTAAAATTTTAAAATCATGATTACACCAGGAGGTAATTTAAAAATATAGAAATAAAAAGTTACTTTCTTTTTCTTAACTCTTATATCGGCTGTAAGCTCCAAGGACGTTTCAGTCACGTCCACTCAGGAAGAGCGCTGACAGAATGCAGTCTAATTTTAGCTTTGGGACTTGCAACTTACTGGCAATATAAGCATAGTTAGAGTTGCTGCAGTGCACTTAACCGTATTCCTGTTCTGTGTGATGCAGGGGGAATTTTATTTCCTGTAGACCGATATTCAGAGATATCAGTGAAGAGATCGTGAAGTATTGGAAGCCTTATATTTTGATACTATATTTAAAGTTGTGTTATTGTCTGTAAAATGCTATTTAAATTTTTTTTTTAATTTTTTTTTTCAACGTTTATTTATTTTTGGGACAGAGAGAGACAGAGCATGAACGGGGGAGGGGCAGAGAGAGAGGGAGACACAGAACCGGAAACAGGCTCCAGGCTCTGAGCCATCAGCCCAGAGCCTGACGCGGGGCTCGAACTCACGGACCGGGAGATCGTGACCTGGCTGAAGTCGGACGCTTAACCGACTGCGCCACCCAGGCGCCCCTAAATTTTTAGTTATTATTGATCACTTACTTACAGCTAAGGTATCCCACGTCAGGGTTCTGAACTTTATTTCTTGGTCCTTAAATAGGCCTTATAAAATTCCTGTGAGATTTTGGTTAAATGATAAAAACAGAAAAAATTATTTTTGGGGGGGGCATACAATAAATATATAGAATTATTTGTGTTGATTTATTTATTTTTATTTTTTTTTTATTTAAATGAGAGATTATTTTGTCACTTAACCTTTGAACACAGGTTTAGAAATTTTCACTTAGTTTATGGTAAGTGATTTTTTAAACTAAATTTCCTGGTAAAATTATCCAAGTAATTTACTTTTCTTCAATAATTTCTTCCCTACACAGTTTCAGCTACAGCAGCTACCTCCATATTAAGCACCGAAACAGGTAAAAAAAAAAAAAAAAAAAAAAAAGTGTGCCTTTTAGCTTCTAAATCAGCAGCAAAGTGAATTTGCAATGCGGCAATTTGGCCCTTTTTTCAAATTTGTCATTCTCTATTTATTTCCTAAATGCCAGATAGCAGGGTCTACATCCAGTTGTAATATTAGTGAAGAGCATCTTCCCTATTCAGAGGTTATGCATCCTAAAAAGAACATTCTCCATACTAGTTTGGAGAAAGTGAAGAAAATTCTACTACTGAAGATCATTCTATGTTAAAGTCTTTAAAAATGATTTACAACTTATCCTTTACTAATATCAAGGAATCTCAATGTTAATTGAATGATTTGTAGTAAAGCAATAGCCTAAGGACTACAAAAAGTGTTTTGAAATGTGTGGACATCTGATTAATACATTTAACTGTTACATTTAATCATTTATTTGCATTAGACATATATGTAAACACATCTCTAAATAAATACTTTTAATTTTGTCTTTTAACACAATTTTAACATACATTTCCAAATATTTGCCTCCTTCTTTGTATAGCAATAACATTGGTAACCAGGAGCTCAGGTGCAGGTAAGCCATAATCTTCACCCACAACTTAATCAAGAGGGCATTTACAAAAAAAAAAAAAAAAAAAAAACCCAAAAAACAAAACTTCTTTTTGCACTATTATATCTTTCTAATGACATTTTATGGGGACTTTTGTTTTGTTTGTTTTTAAGAATGCTTTAGAGGAAGACCTTGGAAAAAATGTTACGCAAAATGATGTTTTCTTGACCTTTTACTTGTGGTCTATGGATTTGAAAGCTTTAATTTTATACTTTAATATCTATCCACCTATATGATTAAATTTCTTTGAAACATTAATTTCAAGTTGACCCATTTTATACATGACCATAGATGTTCTCAGAAACATAATGTTCCCTCTGTGCAAAACTAATTATTTTCCATTGTTTTCTCTAATTCAGCAGCTTCCATTCCAGTGATTACAACATCAAGCAGCGAAACAATAGGTGGGTGAATCAGAAAACTTGTAAAATGACAATGCAGGGTTTTTTTTACATATATTAAACATTTTTTTTAACTTAAAGCCTATTTTAATTAATATACCCACTTGTTTATATTTAGGACTTTTTCTTCCCCACCTGAATACTTTCACTTTCTCCTATTATTTATTACTTTCTCTATTAAAAAAATGGATATATATTTACATGCACGATATGTTTTGAGGTAAAATTGACACATACCATTATATTAGTTGCCGGTGTACCTCATAGCAACTTGGTATTTATATATATTGCAAAATGATCACCATGATAAGTCTAGTTTACATCCTTAAAGTCTCAGACCATGTTTTGCCCTACCTGTATTCCCAAATGCACCTAGTCCCAAGCTGTGTAATAGCTATCATACATTAAATATTTGTAGAATAAATGAATGACTCTTCTTTTTCCCCGTCCCAAATTTATAATTCAGGTATTATTTTAGGGGGGGGGCAACAGAATTTCTGGTGAAGGTTAGACTATTGGTTAGCTATTATTGTATTGAAACTCTTACAGTTTATACATTCATTCATTGCAGCTAATCTTCTTTCTATAAAATGCAAATGTACACTGCAAAATCAAGACTACTTTTTGATTATAATTTTATATCATGATATAGAATTACAACTATAATTTTGGGTATTTTGTAATTATCAGCAGTGTCTGATTTATTTGGTAATTAATATATTTCTTATATATTCAAAGGGCAAATATACTTCTTAAGTATCAGCCCATCACAGTATGGAATATCATTAAAAATGCCTAAATTAACATGTTTAATTTTTGTCAAACTCTCTCTCATGTTGCATGTTATTAGCAACACTAAGCACTACTGACTTGCTCAGTGTAAATCTTGGAAAGACTGACAGGTTTTAGAAGTATTTTTCTCTATTCTACAAGTGTAAGTGTATTTCCCAAGACATAGTAAAAATTTCATCCCCAAAGTCCTTCTATGTTGTTTCTTATACTGCAGAAAATTTTTCTGGCCATGTATTATTTCAGTCATTAGCAATGACTAAACTTCTAATTCTCATCCCACTTCTGTTTCCATGAAGATTAATTTCATTTTATATAGCTCTCTTTTAGTTAAAATCATTTGTTCAGCTATTAAAACTTTTGAATATTGTGACCATTTAAAGAAATAGAACTACTCTTGACTATGGATTTGATGCATTGTACAGTTGTGCATGAGTCATAAGCAATTTTGATAACTATTTCAATGTAAAGATGTTATCTGCATCCTATATCACAGTAGATACTCAGAAATATGAAAACTGGCTTGATTTTTGTTTAGTTTATACATGTATTTCCTTTCATTGTTTTTATATCCCCAAGAATTCAGTTTTGAACATAATATTATGGAAATTTCATTTTGTCGACACTTTGTATTATAGCAAGCAAATTTTTATATAAAACAGCAGGTCATGAATAGATTACTGAAGTAGTTTTTGTGAGCAATGGATGAAATTGTAGATGTAAAATGTTTAATTAACCTTAAAACATTACAAAAATTTCATTAATTATGTTCACCATAGTATTTAAAAAATCATAAATCTAATGTATAGTTGAATTATAGGAGAGATTACCTGGCTGATTTTTCCCCCCAGAATTCATGAGGTATTAATTATAATTTATGCTTAGCCTTCCCAAATCCTAGTATTTTATTTCATTTCATTGAATTTCTAGCAGGTATTTCATGTTCCAGAAGTATAATATTAATTTACTAAAATGCCACTTTAGTACTATTTTGTAAGATATAGCTAATAACAACTTTTTAAAAACAATTTATTTATTTTTTAATTTACATCCCTGTTAGTTAGCATATTGTGCAGCAATGATTTCAGGAGTAGATTCCTTAGTGCCCCTTATTCATTTAGCCCATCCCCCCTCCCACAACCCCTCTAGCAACCCTCTGTTTGTTCTCCATATTTAAGAGTCTCTTATGTTTTGTCCCCCTGTTTTTATATCATTTTTATATCATTTATCTGTTTTTATATAATTTTTGCTTCCCTTCCCTTATGTTCATATGTTTTGTATCTTATAGTCCTCATATGAGTGAAGTCATATGATATTTGTCTTTCTTTGACTGACTAATTTTGCTTAGCAAAATACCCTCTAGTTCCATCCATGTAGCTGCAAATGGCAAGATTTCATCATTTTTGATTGCTGAGTAATACTCCATTGTATGTATATACCACATCTTCTTTATTCATTCATCCATTGATGGATATTTGGGCTCTTTCCATACTTTGGCTATTGTTGATAGTGCTGCTATAAACGTTGGGGTGCATGTGCCCATTCGAAAGAGCACACCTGTATTCCTTGGGTAAATACCTAGGAGTGCAATTGCTGGGTCATAGAGTAGATCTATTTTTAATATTTGAGGAACCTGCATACTATTTTCCAGAGTGGCTGCACCAGTTTGCATTCCCACCAGCAGTGCAAAAGAGATCCTCTTTCTCCAATATCTGTTGATGCTTAGCCATTCTGACAGGTGTGAGGTGATATCTCCTTGTGGTTTTGATTTGTATTTCCCTGATGATGAGTGATGTTGAGCATTTTTTCATGTGTCGGTTGGCCATCTGGATGTCTTCTTTGAAGAAGTGTCTGTTCATGTGTTTTGTCCATTTCTTCACTGGATTATTTGTTTTTTGGGTGTTGAGTTGGATAACTTCTTTATAGATTTTGGATACTAACCCTTTATCTGATATGTCATTTTCAAATATCTTCTCCCACTCTATTGGTTGCCTTTTAGTTTTGATGATTATTTCCTTTGGTAATAACAACTTTAAAGGAGGGTTTACTGTATTCTAGTGATTAGATACACTTTTTCATTCATTATCTCATTAAATCTCAACAATTGCCTGATTAAGTAATATTCTGTGGACCCCTCTGTCTTCATCATTTTGCAGGGAATGAGATACAAAGAGCTAAAATAATTTTTCCAGAGTTATAAAGATCAGAAGAAAAGGAATTTTCTGGTGTGATACAGAGAGAAACTAGCATTGTTTTTCTTTTCCTTATTATCCATGAAATACAGAAATTATTATCAGAAATTATCATTTCAAAGACATAAATCATTAAGGTCGCCCCAACATTATTCTAAAATCAGGAGACAAAAACAATTTTTTATGTTAAAATTGTCCAATTGTGCCACAAATTGTATGTGTTTTAAATAAATTTAGTCAAATAATCCCAATACACAGAAAACATTGCTTATCAAGTTATCAAATTATTGAGACATTTTCAGCATTCCTTAATAATGTATGCATAGCTTATCTTGTTGCTGGAATAAATCTACAAATGCTTTTTTCCCAGATGAACTGAGGCAGACAAAATTTTTATTAATTAAATCTCAATTTTAAATGAATGGTAGTGGTAAAACTTGATTTAAATTTTAGCTTCTCATTCACTGTCCCATATCTTTTCTGAGACTATGCCTATATCATTTATATCAAGAGGAATTTAGAAGTTACTCAAGTAGTAACTTATTTAGTTTCCCCAAAAAAGCTGTGACTGGTAGGCTTGGCTCATACCTCTCATTCATCTTGGTGGATTCGATTAACTGGACAATCATAAATTGTCTACTTCAGCATGTGCTATAGACTCCTGGACTGGGTACAAAATATTCAGAATAAAATGGAAGTTTCTGAATTTTAACAACCATGAGAGACCACATGTCCATTTACCCCCAACTCAGGAATCATAACAATCTATATGAAGTGAGGATGTCAATCAGAACAATCTTAGACAATACTAGTCATATGTTTACTGGGCATTTTATTTTGAAGTTCTAAAAGGAAAACAAAAAAAGCCAAGCCTGGTGGTGTTGTTTTTCATTTTCCATGTAAGAATAAGACATTTCATTTTAAGACATACCAACATATGTTTCCTTTTTAAACTTGTTTTTTCTAAATTCATCCAATAAGCATCATAATATAGTAAAAATAAAACCGTTTATAGTGTTTGCCTTTTGAACACTTTTAAAAGAAATACATTCTTTTTGTGGAGTAGTTGCCTTACAAATTGTAGACTTGAAAGCTACATTCCACTTCTTTTACTGATGTCCATGGTTTAAAAGTTGAACAGCATTTGACAAACTGGGATGAATCCATAGCTACATAATGATTTTTTGTTTTTCAGCTTTCTAGGGGTGAACTGCTTGATCAGTGATGAGAAAACAGGTGCTGAAATAAGGGTTTCATCATCATCACTGGCAAAGTTTCTAAATATAGTATACATCAACTAAAATATTTAAATATTTAAATAGCTACTTAAAAGTAAACGTTGAACATTTTCCAGATATTATAGCTAGGAAGACACATCATTTTGAATATGTACTGTCTCTTCATGAACTCTTGGAAGTAGGTAGAGGGATTTCATTCTTAGATATGGGAATCCATTTCACCCAGAATTTTGGTTTATAGTCTCAGTGTTCTAAGTGTAGTTTCATTTTGGATAATATGTTAGTATGTTTGAATTGAACCAATGTGATTCATGGGTTAATTTAATTTAGTCAAAGCTTTTCTACTTTTATTTTCTACTTTGTCTTAAGATTTCAATTTAACAGGTATAAAATTTATAGGTATAAAAACCTGTATTTCTTGAACACATAGGTAAGGCTTATTTTTTATCTTTTTTAATGTTTATTTTTGAGAGAGAGCACGTGTGCTTGCACACAAGTGGACGAGGGGCAGAGAGAGAGAGAAATAGAGGTTCCAAAGCAGGTGCCACACTGACAGCTGAGAGTCCAATGTGGGTCTCGAACTCATGACCTGAGATCATGACCTGAGCCAAAGTCAGATGCTTAACCAACTGAGCCACCCAGGTGCCCCACGATTGATTGATTGATTTTTTAAATGTTCATTTATTTTTGAGAGAGGGAGACAGAGGATCTGAAGCAGGCTCCTCACTGACAGCAGAGAACCCGATGCAGGGCTCGAGCTCACAAACTGCAAGATCGTGACCTG